GGGGGGGGGGGGAGGGGGAATTGTTAGTAATGAAGATTTTTTGGTGGGTGAAAATAGAATAGTAACCCCGCCTGCGCTAACGGGATACGCTGGCGGAGCACCAATGAAAGGTGATAGATGAGAATGAAAACAGGCCAGTTAGCCCATCATGATGAATTCATCAGGAATTAACCATGATAGTTTCCAGGGGGAACCGCGAGGAGGTCGACCTGGTTGGGTATATTGCTAACAATGAGATGCTCACTCTGCATTACTAACAATCCCTAAACAAACAAAGATATATTTGGGGTGGGCACAGCACACCCGGCCCCCTTATAAGCCTATGAAGACTGTACAACTAGTTTACAAGTTCATTGACACTATACGTGTGTGACTATGGATTTCATATACATATATTGGTATTCAAGATTCACTTACGAGACGCTGCAGGACACAAATCAGGGCCGGATTCAGTTCCAAGGACAACCCGTGTTTTTTTTAATGGGTGAAAAAGGATTGGTAACGCCCGCCCGCGCTATCGGTATACACCGACGAGGCACCAGTGGAAGATGATTGGTGAGAACCAATGCAGGTCAGTTGGCCCATCGTGACGAATACACTTGGAATTCATCGCGATGATTTCCAGGGGGGACCACGGGGAGGTCGACCTGTTAGGGTATATTGTTAGCAATGGGACTGATAATCCGCATTAATTGTAACAATTTTATTTTCGCCTTATAACTCCGTCCGTTCTGAATAGAATTGGACTTTTTTTTAACTACAAGGATATACTCACATATTGGTTCCATCGAAATTTTATCAAAATCGGTTCAGTAATTTAGTTTTTAGATCAAATAACCGGTTTTGGTACAATTGAAGTAAATTTTTTATTGGGCATAATACACAACGGATTGTGCTCAGAGGAATTATTCAATATGATGCCTACGGCCATTTTCTATCATCATACGGCTCGCCATCGACAGGGAGTTCACCCTCTACCTTACAGCCTAAATGGTCGCGTACAACGCCGTTTCAGAGATGTTTTCTCCCACGAACACTAAAGTTATGGAATGAGCTCCCTGCCGAGGTTTTCCCAAGAGACTACAGCATGGGGTTCTTTAAAAGGGGGGTAAAAAGGTTTCTTCCAGGTCGGCAACGCGCGCGTAATACCTCTCGTATTGTAGGTGTTAATAGGCTACGGTAACCGCTTACCATCAGGTGGGCCGAATGCTTGTTTGCCATCTCAGTAGTATAAAAAAAAAAAAACAATCTTTAAATATTATTTTTGTTTTACATTCCGAAATTATAATAATACCAAATCCGGCCCTGGCCTGTCGACCAGGTAGGTATAGTAAGTACATAAGTAAATAAATCAGCGGGTATGTACTCTTATGTGTTCTTTCCATTTATTTTTATTAACAGACGCTAAGGCAACGTCAGTATACAGGTTACACGAGACAAAATGCTATAAAATTAATTTTATGCATGTCGTCGTGTCCCGTCCCATCTACATATAATGCTTTTTACTACCCCATACATATAAAAAATATACATACATACATATATATAATATAAGATTTAATTTTATCTTTTTTTTTTATACAACTTAAAATAGCAAACAAGCTGACCGTCACCTATAGACATGAGCAATACCATGGACATAACAGAGTATACTGTTTCGCCCATGATACCCCCCATGCGTTGCCATTCCTGAGGACTCGGGTGTTATTCCTCTGTACCCAGTAAATTCACGCCATATCCCACCCTTCAAACCGAAACACAGCCATGCAAACACAACTGCTTCACGGTTGAAACACGAATGGGACAGAGGTACCCAAGCAATCGACTTTTGTACAAAGTCTCCCCCTGGTATATTTTATTCATATTTCTTTTTTATTATTATTTTTTATTAGGGAATTACGCGGCTGGCTTCTGACCCAAAATAGAATATCAGTGTTTTGCTCTTTTAAGGGCAAGGCAATAAACTGAGTTGGGACCATTTTGTGTTACTGTGGTACAAAATTGTTATTTCTTTTATGTATTTTCCTCTTTTTTGTATATGTATTGTGTTTTTTTACTGTATATGTCTATCTATATATGTTGTTATTTGTGTGCTTTGAGAAATGCGAATAAATTATAATATACATCTGTCCAAGAACAAGGAAATCTTTGTTATCTATCTATCCGAGAATATTTTTTAGGAATTTTGTCTGTCAGCCGGGGTTCTATTTTTTGATGGGTGAAAATGGCATGGTAACCCCGCCTGCGCTAACGGGATACGCTGGCGGTGCACCAGTGAAGGGTGATAGGTGAGAACGAAAACAGGCCAGTTAGCCCATCGTGATGAATTCATCAGGAATTGACCATGATAGTTTCCAGGGGGAACCGCGAGGAGGTCGACCCGGTCGGGTATATTGCTAGCAATGGGATTCTCAGTCTCCATTACAGGTTACTCCATTATAGGTTACCACTCCATTGTTTTATTTATTTATTTATAAATTACTCACCACACTTACAGTCTCCCAAAACGTGTAGTGAGCCATAGGTTTATTTTACAAACTTACAAATTTTGTACAACATTTTAAAAATATATGTATTTTGTCATTAAATATGTCAATATCTGGCTGTTAAGCAATCAAAGAATTGAGCAGAGAAATAGCCTGATAAGTGGAAGCAAACTGAGCAGTACAGATGCGAACCGGCGGTGCCGATAGTAGTCGACAAGCGCGCAATCGCATGCAGCGTTGGGGTTGAAAACAAAGAACAACGGCTGAGAGTTGCAGGCAAAAAGCTAGATTTAAACAAAAATTTAAAAACAAGGGTTCCTTCATTGCGTCATCACTTTATGCATAGTCATTTGTAAAAACAATGTGTCAATAAGACTTTATTCATTAATCACGAATGTAGAACTGTGTTTTTCAAACTTTTTCATGATGTGACCCACTTTGTATGTTTTTTTTTTATTATTCAAAACTTATTAAATTCAAACAAGCTGACGCCCACCTGATGGAAAGTGGTATCCGTCGCGTATAGACATGAGCAGTATCATGCACATAACAGAGCATACTGTTTCACCCATGATCACCCCCCATGCGTTACCATTCCTGAGGACTCAGGTGTTATTCCTCTGTACCCAGTAAATTCCCTGCTATATCCCACCCTTCAAAGCGAAACAGTCATGCAAACAACTGCTTCACGGTTGAAACACGAATGGTAAACACACTTAGTATGTAAAAATCTTGGATTATATAGATAGAGTGTCTATATAAAAGAGTCCATATAAAATGCTTCGAGAGAAACGGGTCAACTTTTGCATACAATTTTGCGTGATAAATGAGGTTATGAATGATTCCTTTATAACTTCAGTATTTATTTTGTTTCATAATTTTTGCATATTTTTAATACGTAAAAACTTATTTTATTTATTAAATAATTAAATACATAATACGTCAAGATACATTGTGTGCGTAAGTGTATAGAGAACTGATAAAATACCGAGTCAGCTAATTTGACAAAAAGTTGACCCGTTTTTGAGGCTCGATGCTCTATATAATCATATATATCTCTATATAATCAAAGATAAAAATATTTTGCGACCTCCTACTCTCCGCGGTTTCTAACTTCTGTGTATTTTTATTTATATTTATAGCTTGGTATCAAGAGAGAGGCTTTGTACAAAAGTCGATTGCTTGGGTACCTCCGTCCCATTCGTGTTTCTACCGTGAAGCATTTGCGTTTGCATGGTTGTGTTTCGGTTTGAAGGGTGGGATATGGCGTGAATTTACTGGGTACAGAGGAATAACATCTGAGTCCTCAGGAATAGCAACGCATGAGGGGTATCATAGGCGAAACAGTATACTCTGTTATGTCCATGGTACTGCTCATGTCTATAGGCGACGGTTACCACTTTCCATCAGGTGGACCGTCAGCTTGTTTGCCATTCTAAGTAGTATAAAAAAAAATCTGTAAAATACAATAAATAACACATAATGCATTAAAGTTTAAATAAATAAATAAAAATAATGAAGTACCTAACACAGACTTCGGATATTTTGCAAAATTGTTGTTATTTTATGGCTTTGCAACCTTTCGGGACCCCCCTCGTAAAGGCTCGGGGACCCCCCACACTTTGAAAAACACTGCTCTAGAACAAAGAAGATTATGTACAAGGCACCAGCACACCTACAACTATGGGAAAATGCTACAGTTTATTATTTCCTTATTTATATCAAGACATGCCCGCGGTGATTCCCTGCGTTCGTCGCCATGCTGTGATGACAATGTACTGTCATGGCCGTGTATAGTGCGCTCTACATGACAAGATCTATTTATTAAATATATATTAATTTTCCTTTTCCTCTATTCATAGAAATGTAACTCAAATCTGACTAATACATATAATATGGATGACATTTTTGATTATTTTTATGCTTGTCTACGATAACATGGCACGCCCCTTGAAAATTTGAAGAATTAAAAATTTATAAGTGAAAGTAATTACATTTCGACTGATAGTGTCGAGATTTAAATACTGAAAAGATGGTGGACGTAAGATTTTTTTACGGAGAATATAAAAAGTTAAATGCTACATATTACTCAAATTTATTCACGTCGTATATAAATTGTTTAAATGTGTATGTCGTGGTTACTCCTACTAGTAGGGGCGTCGCCCTTCACTACGTTTGTCTGTACATGATCGCCACTTCTGAATATTTGATTCTGATATATTTTTGAAAATTTCTATATAATTTAATTATAGAAATCTAGCATCATCATTACTAGCAATACAGGTCAGGTCAGGTCGACCTCCATGCGGTTCTTCTAGAAACCATTATACTCTTGGTGAACTTTCAGCGATTGATCAATTGATCTCACGTCGAAATAAGTAGGATGGTAATTCGCAAGTATCAAGTGGTGTTACAAACCTAGTAAAATTAATTGACTACACATGTGTAATGTTTCTCATTTTCATGTGACTAACCTTAGCTCACAGGTTATCGGTTAGGTATAATGCAGGCATACCTATAATATACTTTACATGAAAATCGTGTTATTCTAGCCAGTTGGATGCAAACAATACTTATAGCAGTCGGCCATATATAAAACATCTTTCCCGCGCTTTACCTGGCAGTCGGCAACGGACATTTTCCGGCTACAGATTAAAAATATATAAAGTGGTGCGTTCCTTTAAACATAAAATCTTATATATTTTTTTTTTTAATAAAAAGAAATCTACCTCATTGTCACAATTTTGTCTAATTCGTTTACATTCTTATTTCAAATTGGTAATTCATTTTTAAAGTAAATATAAAAAAAATAATTGTTTTTTTGTATTAATAAACCGAGTGTGTCAGTGAGTCAGTGTTAAAAAATAACAAATATAATAAATCAAAAAACTTTATTATTTCTCAGGTATTTTACCAGATATAATGAGAAGATTCGGGATTTATCTCTCCTTGAGCGTACTAAGCGCTTTATGTAAGTATGCTACATTATTTATTAATATTATTTAATGTTAAATAAATTGAACAATATAAATACTATTTGAATTTATAGATCTCTAATATATTTGATTCAATTCGATCATTCGGCCAACACCAAAAATGTAGTGCCACTTATTTTTTATTTTTTATTTATTTGTTTCTGAATTTGTTTATGACAATTTTATATTTTTTAATTGTTGAGATCAAGGTGTAACATTCGAATTCTTTGTTTAATTGTTTATTTTTCAATTTTTTCTTTTTCATTTGAACTTTATTTTGAAAGAATCCACCATTTTTGCCACATATGTATATGACGGAACTTATTTGTATAAATATAACACCCCAAAGATATTAAGTTCACGTCTGACTAGCACTTAAAAGTTTAGAGCGCCAACTTTTTTTTATTTATTTTTTATGACATTTTTTTAAAGAACCCAGGTAATTTTAAAAGTTAAAGGAAAACATTATTAATGATTATTATATTTTAAAGTTTACTCTTAAAAAAATATATAATTTTTTTAAGAGTGTATTTCGAGCATTTTTTTTTTAAATCTATTTCACTAATAAAGAAATTAAATAATGCAAAAGATTTCTATACCACCTTGTTTTATGTAAATTACTAGTACTGGGAGATGAATAAAAATTATTTTTTCAAATACGTTTGACATAAAAAGCAAATAGGGATAAGTCTAGATCTTCCCACTTTCTAAAAATAAATTACAAAATTATATATTAAAAAAATAATATTATTATTCATAATTCCTATTTCTATTATTTAAGAATATAACTAAGCATTATTATGAATAAAATATAATTTAAAAGTTATAAATTTGGAAATGAGTTTTGTTACGACGTAATCAATCATGATTTCTCTGCTCAATTCTCTGATTGCTCAACAGCCAGATATTGATATATTTAATGACAAAATAGATATATTTTTAAAATGTTTTTAAAAATTTGTAAGTTTGTAAAATAAACCTATGGCTCACTACACGTTTTGGGAGACTGTAAGTGTGGTGAGTAATTTATAAATAAATAATTAAAATAAATAAATGATATTTGGTATACATGTACGATATGGGATGGAGAATGACATAGATCAGTGACCACACTGGTATCCCGCTCATGTGGACGAGGTCGCGGATAAAAGCTAGTAAATTGATAAATATATAATTTTCGTTCATTCGTTCGTTTCTAATACAGGCGCCGCTCAGCCCGCCACCAACCCTGTGATACTCCGCGATGTCCCAGCTGAAGTCTTGTTCCCCTACAAGAACACGCTGGACGCTCAGTCACCATTCGTCCTCGAATGCCTGACTGTTAATAAAAATAGCCAGAAAGTGAGGTTAGTGTATGAAAAAAAAAAATTATAAACTATGTTTTTAAATTCGAATTTCGAATTCGTAATTAATATTTTTACAGCGCGTTTGCCATTCCTAGTTTAATAAAAAAAAAAATGTCATACTTCTGTGTGAGTATAATTATTTAGTTCAGTTGTCATTTTTGACATTTAAGATTTGTTTAAGATTATTTTTCTTTTAAGTGGGGGTTTGATCCCTTAAAATAGTGGGTATGTTATATATTTTCAGCTACATGCCTTTTCCTTTAGTTAAAAGCTCCACTCATACCCTATTTTCTGTTACACGATTGTCTGCTAATGAGTCTTTTTTTAAGAGCCAGCCCCTAAAATACATATAATGTATACGATTCTAAATAAAAATAATTATGTTTTAGTTACAAATGGACGAAAAATGGACAACCCTTGGATTTGAAAGCCAATCCGAACATCGTCCAACGACAAGGCGAAGGGTCGTTAGTATTCATAAATCCGGGCCAGAATGACCAGGGCGTGTACCAGTGCTTCGCGGAAACTCCACAAGGAATCGCCAGCACTCGTCCGATTAACGTCAAAACAACGTTCTTGGAAGTTCCTAAAGCGGAACCAGTACATCATAAGCCTGTTGAAGGTAAAATTCATACATATACACGCACACACACACGCATTCACATATACGCATACGAATACACATACGATCCATGCGCACACACATAGAAACACACTCACACACGGTACGCTTGTTTCCTATTGGTTGAATTGGCAGACATGTATTTTTTACCTAAACACAAATTTGCATGCGTTTTTATAATGTTTTAGTAGTTCAAGTTAGTTATTTGTACTGTGGTTTTACTAAGTAATCACTAAAAGAACTATGTAAAAGATACGTCTTTTCTCTACACTAGTCTATAGATGTAGGTATATACAGTTTACAAATTGCAAAATTGCATAATAAATTTCACCACACCCATTTTATTTTTCTCCAAAAATTTCTTCAACAACCAATTTCCCTACATATATTTTATATAAAATTTGTCAACACGATATTGTTTACTCAAAATTGCGGAAAAAGTATTTAATCTAGCAACACTGCATGCCGATTTTAAATTAGGGAGAAGTATCGCTAAAACATATCAACTTTTCAAAATTTACTTAAAAATAAAGTAATTTTTCAGGTCGCCCATACAAGTTGGATTGTCCCAAGCCTAATGCGTACCCGGAACCGACGATCACCTGGCGGAGCCAGTTGGCAACAGACCCGAGTATATCTGATGACGTCCGCGACAAGAGGATCACTGTTGGCCCTGATGGTGCGCTGTACATCGCCAACGTTACCGAAAAAGAGGTTTGATTTTATTTTTTTAATATAATTTGCAATAGCATGTAAGCGTAATCACTTAGCTGAGCCTTCTGGTGTCAAACCTGAGCATATCTGACGACGTCCGCGACAAGAGGATCACTGTTGGCCCTGATGGTACGTTGTACTTCGTTTAACCAAAAAAAGGTTTATTTTTTTTTCTTTTAATGTAACTTTTAAAGGTACGCAATCTAAGGTTTCTAATATGAGCGATTATAACCTAGCAATCAGCTGCCCCCGATAGGGGATTAGTTAGGAATAAAGACTACGGATTCTGTATGTGTATAATATATTATCCAGGCGGTATCTCGAAACGATCGCGGTGAATTTGATAGGCCAACAGACCTTATTTCATCCTCATCTATCATTCTTCACTGGTACCGCATTGGCCTATTTATATATATTTTTCAAAAGAGTCTGGTCCCTTAAACACATATGTATTTTAGGCATGTCTTTGCCCATAGCCGAAAGTTTCGCTCACATCTTGGGATGAGCACAGCCCATTTGTTGGTCCTCGTAGCCAGGATATGTTCAAGGACCGGGATGAATATATATATTATTAAAATGTTGTTTAACATTTTTAAGTTTGTAAAATAGACCCATGGATCACTACACGTTTTGGGAGACTGTAAGTGTGGTGAGTAATTTATAAATAAATAAAATAAATAAAAGTACCCTATTGGGAATCTAGCAGCTTTATTGCTAGCAAAATACATTATCAAATCGGAGTCCACGTGATTTTGTCTGGAAACCATCTTATTAATTTTTGTTCAATTTGTTATGGTTAACCTACTTTCATCCTCACTTATCATCCATCACTAGTGACGTCACAATCGCTGACGTCGTCAGTAACCAAAAAAAGCGCAAATCGAAGCAATCTTAATCGATTCATAGATTAAAAATAGATAGTGAGATTCTCTATCTACGGCTCTGACTATAATATTATTGATATATTTTTTAGTTTTTTTTTTTTTAATAAAATTATTATTTTTTTGTTTTTTTAATACAGGTGAGCGACAGATTCGTATACGTGTGCCTCGGCAAGTCGCCGGCCGTACGCGACGAGGTGCCCCTCGCGAAGCACTTCATCGACTCCCTCACGGAGGACAAACAGAAGAAGGACAACGAGGTCGTGGAACAGTACCTCACCAAAGAACTTACGGCTAAAGTGGGCGAGCAGATTTATTTGTACTGCATTTACGGTGGAAAGTGAGTATGCATGTTTGCTTTACTTAATAGGTGATAATGGAATGGTAACCCCGCCTGCGTTAAAGGCATACGCTGGCGGGGCACCAGCGAAGGATGATAGGTGACGATGAAAACAGATCAGTTAGCCCATCATGACGAATTCCATAAGAATTAACTACGATGGTTTCCAGGGGGAACCGCGTGGATGTCGAGCTGATGGGATAAATATATATTTAAGTTAAATTAGGCTGTACCAAATACCCGTGTACCAAATTTAATTCAAATCCATTTATTTTATTTATTTATTTATTTATTCATTAGTACAAATATGTGTACATGGTGGACTTAATGCTAAAAGCATTCTCTCCCAGTCAACCATTTACTACTTTTTGCATAAACAAACAAACATGTATCCATCGTTACAAACGTTCGTGCTTATTATATTAAAACGATTTTTTTTTAAATGTTGTTCCATAAAAAAATACCGAGTTCAGTCATGGCAACACCAGTTATTTTGATCTAAAATCTAAACTTAAATTAAGTTTGTGTAAGACTAATCTGAAAATACATCCATCCAGATAAAAAAAATTGCTCCATCGGTTTACAACCGTTGGACTTATGAGGAAACAAATAAAAAAAAATACAGTCGAATTGAGAAGCCCTTTCGTTTTAAGTTCGGTTGAAAATAGGAATTGTCACTTGCTTCGAGTTTCGAAGGTATATATATATATATATATATATATATATATATATATATATATATATATATATATATATATATATATATATATATATATATATATATAATATTGGATAACAGACTTTTAACATATGCAAAAATATATATCCGTCCGATATGGGCGATATCGAAATGGGTGATGACCTTTTTTCCGCCATCAGTGTCCAGAAGAAACCAATATATAGATAACGGATCGGTATCAATATTACTCATGTCTACTAAACATAATAAATACAATGCAATGTCCTTCATGGGTTGTACGATCGTGCGCTTTGAATGGCATACCCTCGTATGACACTTTCACCATTATTTTCTATTTGTTACGCAAACAATTGATTTTGTAACGGACAATACCATGACATTTACAATCAATAGTTTTCTATAGATATATTTATATTTTATTTATATATTTATATTTTAATGCACAGTAAAATTCTGTGTACATTTGACGGACTTAACACCGAACGGTGTTCTCTACCAGTCGAGCATTGGGCGAACAGAGAACTAAGTAGGCGGTGCATTATTGAATAGAGAAAAAGTAAAAAGCAATACTTAATATACTCATATATTATAAACATATAATTACACTAGAATAGAATAGAATAGAAACATTTATTGCCAGTAAACATACAATCACAATATAAAATATAAATAACATATACAAAAAGTGTCCCGTACTCGGCAAAAGGAACCGGCTTAGCGGATGCTGTGAGTGTCCCAGTGCAATGTGAACAGCTGCACGGCGCTGGTTTTCAGCCAGTCCCTCTAATATGGACATAAACATAATATATTAAATAAATAAATTTATACATATAATAAATACATAAAATATTGCTATATAAAACAAATGTAATAGAAGAGCAAATAGCAATCTACAACACAGAGTAGCCAGCAAGATTAAAGGCAAAGTCATTGTTCTAAGAAATAGGCGCGCAATTTATGTTTAAAAGCTAGTCTATTTGTAGTAGATTTCATGTCAAGCGAAACTGCGTTCCAGTATTTAGTAGCTTGAACAATGAAAAAAAAAATTTTTTTTAATAAATCACTAATTTTTAAATTTAGAATTTTTAAATTAGAATGAGCCACTCCTTACTTTTCCGTAGGTGTCGTAACAGGCGAATAAAAGAACTTAATAATCGAGAGATGGACAGCAGCGTCGTACTTTAGTTACTGTGATATGTCTCTGTACTAAAATGTCCAAAAATGTCTGTACAAAAATCTGTAAAAAATGCCTCTGTACCCAGTAATTACACTACTATGCCCATAGCCATGGAAGCGGCTATGGGCATAGGTCACGGCTATTTTACAGTAGAAACACGGAATTTCTGTCCCAAATACAATGTTTTCTTTCGATCTTGAATGACAAGGAAGCTGTCGATCTTCTAAATAAAAAATATATGAACAAATTCATCAGTACTCCACATGACATGAATTTTAATATGTTTTACCAACGTTTCCCACAGCCCACTCGCCCACCCCGACTGGTTCAGGGACGGGAAGGACATCAACAACGAACCTAATTCCCGCATAACCAGATACAATAGGAGCGCCGGCAAGCGACTGCTGATCCGCGAAGTGTTGCCCGAAGACGCTGGTGAATACATGTGCGTGGCGAACAACGAAGTTGGCAAAGTCAAGAAGCATACCATGAAGCTCTCTGTTATTAGTGAGTATCTAAAAATTTGTACAATAAAAGTAACAGTTTGTTTTTTTTTTAATGTAACCCCGCCCGCGCTGTTGGTATACACCGGCGGGGCACCAGTGAGGGATGATAGATGAGGATGAAGCAGGTCAGTTAGCCCATCGTGACGAATTCAACAAGAATTGTTCACGGTGGTTTCCAGGGGGAACCACGTGGAGGTCGACCTGATAGTGTATTGCTAGCAATGGGTTCATTAGACCCCATTACTAACAATCCCTTCCCCCCAAGTAACAGTTTTCTATGATATATGCTTTTAGCTTCATTCTTTCTTCTTACGGCGCCATCTCCTACCGGCGATTGGCGATCATCGAAGCGATCTTGACTGTATTCTCTGCCATCCTGAAAAAGGATCTGCTGCTCATTCCAAACCACTACCGTAGATTTTTTAACCAGGAGAATAGAATAGAATAGAATAGAAACTAGAAAATCATTTATTCAAATAAACTTACATTGAAGCACTTTTGAATAGTCATTACATTTTTTTTTAATCTACCGCTCGTTCGGAAAGCTGTCTCATCACAAGAAGAACGAGCAAGAAACTTGCGTGTTGCTCTTTTAAATAATTTTATTATTACTTTACATTTTTAAGTTTAAGTGTGTGAATACAAACCACCAATTAGCACTAATTCAATTAAATACTCAAAAAGAAAAAATATTGAATACATAACCAACTGGTTAAACAATTAATAAGAGGAAATCAGTCATAGTGATTAGAGTAGACCAGTCCCTACAAGCAGCACCCGTTCACGAGTATGACGGATGAGCCAGCCATCACTGCGCTCGACCATATTTTAGGGAGCCCAATGACCCGGCCCACCACGCCGCCACAAGTCTGGACATTTTAGTGAGCATGACTACTAAAACCCTAGACCACGTCAAAGCTACTCACAATTGCCATCTGATAGTTATAGTATTCACATTTTACATAAGAATGCATGCGGCAATTAATACAAAAACCGCTACGCCGGAGATTCGGCGTCTCCCAGTCTTCGGCAACCTTGGGATTTTTTCCTGTATTATAAACTGCAGAAGACTGTATTAGGTCCATTGCATATGTAAAAAAACAGTCTATCTTACATCAATCAGGGTATGATATTCTTTATATAACTCGGTGAGTTTAAACAGACTTCTCGTGCTAAAGGTTCAAACAAATTCTAGATTCGTATACAACTATCCTCGCCGTGTCGTTCCGCCATAGAAACGACCACTTTCTTTTCCCGTGGGTGTCGTAAGGGCCGACTAAGGGAACTTAATAATTGAAGGATAGGCAGCAGCGTCCCTCTTAAATCATCACCAAAGCCTAACTGCAGTTACCAACTTGCCTGCCTTCGGTTTTAAGGGCCCACCCAAGAGATATGGCGTGAATTTACTGAGTACAGAGGAATAACACCTAAGTCCTCAGGAATGGCAACGCATGGGGGGTATCATGGACGAAACAGTATACTCTGCTATGTCCACGGTACTGTCCACGTCTATAGGCGACGGTTACCACTTTCCATCAGGTGGGCCGTCAGTTTGTTTGCCATTCTAAGTTGTATAAAAAAAAAGTGTAGTAATTACAGGCAATATTCCCTTTATGGGGAAGTTTATGTTCAGCAGTGAACAGGTAACGGCTGATATAATATCTATATCTGACTTAACTTCCTATATACAACGTGATTTTAACTCGTTGGGGGGAAAGGGATCGTTAGTAATGGAGACAGAATCCCATTGCTAGCAATATACCCAACCAGGTCGACCTCCTCGCGGTTCCCCTTGGAAACTATCATGGTTAATTCTTGATGAATTTATCATGATGGGCTAACTGCCCTGTTTTCATTCTCATCTATCACCCTTCACTGGTGCTCCGCCAGCGTATCCCATTAGCGCAGGCGGGGTTACCATACCATTTTCAAACATAAAAAAAAAACTCGTTTGAACCTTTACACACTTAGATATATTAATTCCGTATATATTGTGACTGCTACAGTACTGTTCATGTCTATAGGCGACTGTTACGATTTTTCACCCGGTTGATAGATAGATAGATAGATAATTTATTTACATTACTTACAGCACACAAATTACAATAAAAAAAAAACATACACGTAATACACAGCAAAAGAGACAAAAAAATAAAAATAAAAAAAGCACAAATAAAAAAATACAAAAACAAAATATATAATCTAACAATCTCCTTTCTTACCATTTATATATATATATATAATGTATATATAAATAAACTGCATTGTATGTGTCCATTATATTTGCCTTCACTTGATATTATATTCTAAATAAATAAATAAATAACAGATACCATTAGATGAGAGGTAGTCAGAGATCACTTTCTGTCACATTCAGATATTCAGGCAATAAATATTTCGGCTACGTACCTATTAGGTATGCCAATTTTTTGTTTATCAATTAAAAAGATTTTAAGTTTTTTTGGTTGGCCATTTACTTGTTAATAATTCCATATTGCATAAAAAAAATATTAATTACTTTTGTATTCCTTTTACAGGCGCTCCAATCTTCAAGAAGAAACCTGAACAACAAATGAACGTGCGCGAAGGTCAGGACGTCACCATCCCCTGTGAGATCACAGCTATCCCTCCAGCGACAACATCTTGGACGTACAACGCTGCTCCTATTGGCAAAGATAGAATGACAGTTACCAACACAGGGCTAACCATAAAGAAAGTGCAGAAGACTGACACTGGATACTATGGGTGCAGTGCCAAAAACGTTCATGGCCAGAACTATGCCGAAACAGTTCTAATTGTTGCCTAAACAGCAATACAGATGGCGGGTCGATCACTTTTTTTTTTAATAAATTGACACGTGTCAGAAATGGTTACACTACATTTCTAAACGAAGCGCAGAGTCATAGTGGTCGATCAGCTTGTTAACTATTACTAACAAAATGTAATTTAATTACTTATTTATGTCGTATTAAAATATTTAATAACAAAAAAGTTTTTTTTTATTCAATTACATTTGAAATGCCCTAGTAATGTTCCAATAAAAACAGTCTCATTATTATTTTTTTCTTTTTTATGCGTAGCCTACCCCTCAATTTGTGACACTGAGAGAACCGACGTAAACTGGATTATTCCAACGCGCCGTCTATGTTACGTGCGAGCAGAGCCCTACGAACACAAGCTTTGCTTACTTGTAGAAATGTTCTTGTCCCAACCTACTTTCTAGTAGGTGGGGGGAAAAGGATTGTTAGTAATGGGGTCTATGGACTGACCCATTGTCTTTTTTTGATGGGTGAAAATGGTATGGCAACCCCGCCTGCGCTAACGAGATACGCTGGCGGAGCACCAGTGAAGGGTGATCGATGAGAATGAAAACAGGCCAGTTAGCCCATCATGATGAATTCATCAGGAAATAACCATGATAATTTCCTGGGAGAACCGCGAAAAGGTCGACCTGGTTGGGTATATTGCTAACAATGGGATCCTCAGTCTCCATTACTAACAATCCCTCCCCCCCCCAGCCCCTCGCCCACTGTTAGTGGTCGAGGTCACACTATCAGGTTGACCTCCACGCGGTTCAACCTGGAAACCATCGTTAATTCTTGAAAATTTTTTCACGATGGGTCAACTGACCAGCTTTCATTTATCATTGATGTCTCACCAGTGTATACCGATAGCGCAGGCGAGGTTACCATTCCATTATCACCAACTAAAAAAAGAAAACATACTTCCTATTCCTTTATTTTCTGATAATAAGAACTATCCTGTAGTCTAGGCTCTTAAACAAAACTTCAATTTGACATTTTTGACAACTTCATTTTGTTTGACAAGTGACAACGCGTATAACCTATAAAAATATACTAGAATTTAGCAAAACAAAGCGAAAAAATACAAATTTAAACATGTTTTTCTTATATTTAATGAGTATTTTATCTTTAATTGTCCAAGTAGTGTTTGTAACATTAGCTATTGGTGAGTAAATAAACAAAAACTAATAGGTATTCATACATAAAGAATTTTTAAATTATTGTAATAACATCTTATAGAAATGCTTTTATAGTAATAGTTTTAAAACTATATTCTTCTTATTAATGTAGCCCAAATATTATAATCCAATTTCTATCTTATTACTGGATTTTATACGTATTTTCGTGTATTTGTTGCACGTATTGAAAAGTATCCCTTGGGAACATATTACAGGGTAAAAAGTATTGTATACCTCACTGCAGGCTATTGTCTATGTATGTGTTAAATTTCATTAAATTTTTTTTAGTAATTTATATTTAATTTTAACTTTTAAATTGTTTACACATATTTTAAATACACAATCGGGACTTAACGTGATGTAAAAGATTTTACAGGTAAATAGTACCTACATACTCTAGACAAGTGGGAAGCGAATTCGTCGATGGAATCGACATCGCTAGCAAATCCGGCAGATAGAATGAGATAGCGATGTTGAATGTCTCATTCCAACTCACAGACTTGACTTGGACTATAACAAGGCATTATATTGTATTTTATATATTGTATATTGCAACAGATCCTTAGACTATTTCTAAAGTGAAAAAAGTGTTGTCCTCCTCTCTCGTACTTGCTGTGCTCAACAGGGTCCATAATTGAAATGTTATTTACTAATTATATTATGGAATGCAATAAGAAATAAATAAAAAATAAATAAATTATTTACATGTGAAGATTTTTAGATCTTGTTAAGTTCTGATTGTGTATCTGAAATATTTGTATTTAATTCAACAAGAAGTAAATTACCCTTCAGGATAACTATGGACCAATTTCTATTTAACATAGTAATACATATACATACTACGATTACGCCGATCACCTGGACTTCAAGTTACAGTACTGTTTTTTTTAATGAATGATAATATAATGGTAATTCCGCCTGCACTATCAGTATACGCTGGCGGGGCGCCAGTGAGGGATGATAGGTGAGGATGAAAAGGCAAGTCCGTTAACCCATCTTGATTATTAAGGGCTGATACAATAACTCACTATGAAGATGATATAATCCATTCTGTACTTCTCTTTGCAGCTGCTGGCCTGTACTATCTAGCTGAATTGGTAGAGGAGTACACAGTGCTGGCCAAGTCTGTGATATCTTGGACAGTGTTTGTGAGTAATGCTTATTAATATAACAAAATTAAAAAAAAAAAGGTGTCTTAAGACCTTATTCATGTTCTACCATGAAGCAGTTGTTTGCATGCCTGTGTTTCGATTTGAAGGGTGGGATATGGCAGTGAATTTACAGGGTACAGAGGAATAACACATCCAGATTTTTTCAATTTTTTTGTTTCTCCGTCTGTTTGTAGGGGCTAATCTATGAAACTTTACTGATCAATTTAAATGAAAATTTTCATGGTGGTATCTTACATCCCTGGGCAAAATTTTAGAGACTTTTAATCACGGAAAATTAAAGAGTTCCCGTGGGATAGTTAAAAAAACTATAGTAACTTGTACAGCTTAAGACACAACCTACTTAAGTAAAGTCATTTTGCCCTAAGACAAAAAATGAGAAGGACACGTCATTTGTTACTTTTGGTCCAGTATTCCCGGACATAATAAATGGATAGGTACACATATCGATACATCCGGCAGCTCACGTAATCCTGGAATGTGAGGCTATGGCCCATCAACGTTTAGAATCCCTCGGAACAGTGAGGTCGCTCCGTGAGGCCTGTGAAGATCTCAGGAAGCTTCTGCGCTTCTGGGCGGAGCTAGGTTGGCTGTACTAGCCACGACTCTTACGCACAACGGCTCAAATGAGAGGCTAAGCGCGGAAAATAGAGTCCTATTCACATTTTACATCGATACATACTAAACAGGAGTAACGAATACCACGCGGACAAAGTCGCGGGCATCAGCTAGTTGTTAATAATTGTTTTATTAATTTCCAGATAACGGCTTCCCTACATATAGGTCTAGTGATATTCGAAGACTTGCCACTCCACCTGAATGTGCTAGGACTTGTTCAGCAGACGTTGCACGGGCTGCTGTTAAGGCAGTTCCCCGTTGTGAGGGTGACCAGCCCCACGTTCGTAACCTCTGTGATGGTGCTCGTGGCGCATCACTATTTCGCCTTCAAATTCTTCGGCACAGTATACTTCAGTTTCTCAGAGGTGAGTGATATTATTTTACTTTATACATATGCCATTATTTTTGAGGTCCCATACCTTTGTAGGAGAAATGGATTACCAGAGGGAGACTTTGTATAAAAGTCATTTGCTTGAGCACCTCTGTCCCATTCCTGTTTCTACCGTGAAGCAGTTGTGTTTGCAGGGCTGTTTCGGTTTGAACGGTAGTATATGGCAGTGAATTTACTGGGTACAGAGGAATAACACCTGAGTCCTCAGGAATGGCAACGCATAGGTTGTATTATGGGCGAGACAGTATACTCTGTTATGTTCATGGTACAGCTCATATCTATAGACGAGGGTTACCACTTACCATCAGGTGGGCCGTCAGCTTGTTTGCCGTTATAAGTTGCATAAAAAAATTCTCTTAGAGGGTCGCTTTGTTGTCCGTCTAACTAACTAACCAGCTACTATAGTAGCTTAAAGGTCGAGGGATGGACAGCAGCGTCCCTCTTAAAACATTACCAAATCCTAACTGCGGTTGCTAACCCGCTCGCTAGGGGGAAATGGATTGTTGATAATGGAGACTGAGAATCCTATTGCTAGCAATATCGATCCAGGTCGACCACCTCGCGGTTCTCCCTGGAAACTATCATGGTTAATTCCTGATGAATTCATCATGATGGGCTAACTGGCCTGTTTTCATTCTCATCGATCACCCTTTACTGGTGCTCCGCCAGCGTATCCGCGCAGGCGGAGTTACCATACCATTTTCACCCATCAAAAAAAAACCCGCTCGCTAAGCGTGGCAACTACTAGTAAAACCCCCTTAAGGGGGATGCCTACAATTAACAGTGGATATAATAAAAAAAATCTATTGCAATCAGGTCCTAGCATACTTCACGCTGTGCCTCTGGGTGGTGCCGTTCGCGCTCTTCGTATCTCTCTCAGCCAATGATTATGTGCTGCCCACCACTGGAACGGAGAAGCAGCCGTTGTTGGGTGAGTCATTTATTAGCCAACTTATTTAAGAAGGTTTTTTTATGTTTTTTTTTTTGTACAACGCAGGGGGCAAACGAGCATGCGGCTCACCTGATGGTAAGTGACTACCGCCGCCCATGATCCCCCACAACACCAGCGGCATTGCAGCTATGCTGCCGGCCTTTTAGAAAGGAATGTACTCTTTTCTTGAAGGTTATGTTGTCGTATCGGTTCGGAAATACCGTTGCTGGAAGTTTATTCCAAAGAATGGTTGTGCGTGGGAGAAAGTGCCTTGAAAAACGCACGGTGGAAGACCGCCACTCGTCCAGATGATTGGGATGAAACTTTAGTTTGTGGCGGGTTGTACGGTGGTGAAAACCAGCAGCAGGTATCAATCCGAACAATTCCTCAGATAATAATAGTATGGTAACCGCGCCTGCGCTATCGGTGTACACTGGCGGGGCACCAGTGAGAGATGATAGGTGAGTATGAAAAGACAGGTCAGTTAGCCTATCGTGATTAATTCAACGATAAATTAATCACTATAGTTTCAAGGGGGAACCGCGTGGAGGTCGGCCCGATAGTATGTATATATTGATAGTCTATTGATATATATTGATAGGGACTAACCTCCCCATTACTAACAATCCCTTCCCCCTTTTTATTTTGAAGTAATTTAGCAGAGTATTTATTGTAATATTTAGACACATTATTCATATTCATGTAATTATTAATATATTTTTCTCAAACATGCTTGGAAATGTGAGCATTATTTTGACAATCTTCTTAGAGATAAATCAAAATTGCCGTACTGGCCAGATACATGCGGGCAGCAGCCGGCAAAAGTTGTATGAAAATCTATATCTATCGTGTTTTGCGGCCAGATAAATTACTATGTAAACTCATCTCTGTCCTGTAATTTAAAAATGGAATGACCTTTTACTTCGAAATACGGCTACCAAGGAGGTAACTAATAAAAAGTTTTATTTAAATTTCGAACTGGCTTGCAAATAGAAAGTTGTTTATTGGAAAAAAAAAATAAAGGAACATTATGGCGCGTGAAAAATTATTATTGTTCGTTATTCGTCATTGAACTTAAAAAGTAAAATTGTGTTTTTGTTTTCCGCGCATTGTTTGAGAAAAGTACTATACAAGCCTTGGCCACAACTAGGCATTGATGGACTCACGTATGTATGCCTCGGCTACGCCTCGGCTTACATTTGCACGTTCGTCCATCAATGCCTCAGTTGCATGCCGCTATAGTAATGTACTATTAGTTATACAATTAATTAGAGGCGACATATTTCTTTTCTTACAATTACCAGACAGCAACCAGAGAGCATCGCTCTACATACATCAAGCATAAACTAATAAAGTTGCCATATTAAGAAATGTGTGGATTGCTTTCTCAACACCCCCCGACAGGGGGGAAAGAGATTGTTAGCAATGGAGTTTGACATCCCCGTTGCTAGCAATACGCCCTATCAGGTCGACCACCACGTGGTTCCCCCTGGAAACCATCGTGAACAATTCTTGTTGAATTCGTCACGATGGGCTAACTGACCTACTTCACCCTCACCTTCATCCTTCACTGGTGCTCCGCCGGTGTATACCGATAGCGCGGGTGGAGTTACCATTCCATTATCATCCATTAACATAGACTAATAAAGTTGCCATATTAAGTTAAGTTGTTTCTCTTCTCACCAGGCGATAACAACGTGGTCACGGACTACCTGTCGCGCAAATCGAAAAGGTACAGTCTTCTGTCGTTCTTCAGTTTCGCCAAAGAGTCCATTTTGCCGCAACGAACCAAGAAAGCATTTTAAATAGTTAGTTACAATAAAGGTGGCAACTATATAGCAATATATATATATGGTAGTTACCAATATCTATGTATATAACAGATCACTACATGGTATAAAACAAAGTCGCTGCCGATGTCTGTCCGTCCCTATGTACGCTTAAATCTTTGAAACTACGCAACGGATTTTGATGCGGTTTTTTTAATAGATAGAGTGATTCAAGAGGAAGGTTTGTATGCATAATACATGCATAATATAGTGGAGAAACACTGATAAATTTAGAGGTTTCTAATGTGATGTGATGTGCACCCGTGCGAAGCCGGGGCGGGTCGCTAGTATATTATTTATTTATTTATTTACACTTTATTGCACCAAGTAAAAAGAGAAATAACAAATACAGTAAATATTAATGAGAAGTGATACAAAAGGCGGCCTTATCGCTAAGCAATCTCTTCCAGATAACCTTATATTATATATCAGTGATCCAATAATGATATTGGAGATATCATATTGAACATAGATATCCGATTGGTATGGGCGATATCGAAATAGGTAATATATAGATATCAGATATTACGCATACCTACAGTAACGTAGCATGGATAATATCGGTACTGATGCGATATTATTTTATTGGATTACTCTAAACCTTCATATATGATATACATACATACATATCTGTCACGCCTATCTCCCATTAGGGTAGGCAGAAACTGGAACGCCAAATGCCTCGATACAAACAAACTTCATTTATCAATCTCTTCATACACGCTCGCCGGTTACGGGTACTTTTAATTTGGCCCTTCTTCAGCGCGTCGCCTATTTGGTCGACATACGTCCGTCTAGGGCGGGCGGGCGCGTGCGCAGCCTTAATGGCCACTTTTTAAAATGTAAAAATGTCCACCCGTGCGACGCCGGGACGGGTCGCTAGTTTATTAATAAAATAGATTTTTAAGTTTTATACTGAAACGTGATGAGTTGTAATCCAATTAGAGAAATTATTATTATGAATATTTATATAATTCATTCGTGTTTCTACCGTGAAGCAGTTGTGTTTGCATGGCTGTGTTTCGGTTTGAAGGGTGGGATATGGCGTGAATTTACTGGGTACAGAGGAATAACACCTGAGTCCTCAGGAATGGCAACGCATGGGGGGTATCATGGGCGAAACAGTATACTCTGTTATGTCCATGGTACTGCTCATGTCTATAGGCGACGGTTACCACTTTCCATCAGGTGGGCCGTTAGCTTGTTTGCCATTCTAAGTTCTATAAAAAAAAAAAAAAAATATAAAAAATGTATTCACCCCAAAGGTTGAATGGTAGAGAATGCTACTAGCTATGACCAAATAGCTAATCTCGCGGCTACACACACAAAATAATATAGATATCGTAACAGAAATTTATAGATATTGCTATATATGTATTACCCAGTGACGGACTAGGACCGGGCCGGTAATGCTGAATGAGGCTACCAGTTTAAAAAGTTGATTAAATTTTTTATAAGCTTTATATCCAGTTCACATTTGTATGTGGATAGATAGTCTTTGTTACCACCAGAGGGAGACTTTGTACAAAAGTCGTTTGCTTGGCTACCTCTGTCCCATTCGTGTTTCTACCGCGACGCAGTTGTGTTTGCATGGCTGTGTTTCGGTTTGAAGGGTGGGATATGGCGTGAATTTACAGGGTACAGAGGAATAACATCCGAGTTCTCAGGAATGGCAACGCATGTGTGGTATCATGGGCGAAACAGTATACTCTGTTATGTCCATGATACTGCTCATGTCTATAGGCGACGGTTATCACATTCCATCAGGTGGGCCGTCAGCTTGTTTGCCATTCTAAGTTATATAAAAAAAAATACCAATAATAGTAAAAAAAACAATTAATGTTGCTGGTTGCTGGAGCCGCCTCAGCTGTTGCTATATATGTACAGCTCCAGCGAGATGTACCTATATAGCGCTGATTTACAGGCGACCCCTTAACTCCTTTACCTTTAGCATGCGTGCGGGTCGCCAATACCCATTTTTCGGATGGGAGAATCAATACGCTTAACAAAAAATAAATAAATAAAAAACTATAACCAGAACTAAAAAAAGAACAATGTAAGTTTTTTGTAATTGTTTATATTTATAATAAGTTTACTATTGTAATTTTTTGGAGGGAACAATAAAGAGTATCTATCTATCTATCAAAGTATAAATATATATGTTTATTTAATTAAAATCTTGTAAATGGAATTTAATTTAAACATACATAGAATATGGATTGGATGAGAGAAATGGAGGCGTTTGGAGGCCATCCAGTATCAGAGGTCTGGGCGATTTGCCCCTTCCGCCCCTCTTTAGTCCGTCTCTGATATTATCCACCCCTTTCAGTAAAGGCTAATACTCAATGTACATAAAAAATGTAGTTTTTTTTTTTCATAAGAACCATGTACATAGCTGTTGAACTGTTTCGTCTCTTTTACACTAAATTCCTAATTTGAAAATAAGTGACAAAACAGTGTAAAAATTAAAATTGGTTTGTATGTTAGAAGGATTTAGTTTTTATGAACAAGAGCGTTGGGCGTTGTGTAATTACTTCACTATTAGTGATGAATTAAAAAGTATTTCGCAGCACTTTACCAAGAGGTGGTGAATTTGTGAGAATACCAACATAATTCATTGCTGGTAATGAATTGGGAAGTACTCGTAATACGACTCAGTCGTTATTACTGTTAATTTATTTATTTATTTAAATTTATCGACTAAAGAATCTTTCTTAAATTTGGCAAAGATGGCGCCACTTTGCAGGCATACTTCCTTATTCGAAACATGAAACCCCTTTTAGCTATTGTACTGTTTCCTCCCTTTTAATTTTACACTAAATTTACAATTTGAATGAAACTGACAATAAAACAGTGTAATAGTTTAAGTTAGTAGGAAGTTTTATTTTTTATACCTATAAAAAAAAATATTGGACTTTTTAACAACACGTAGACTTATTTTAGACCATATTTTTTATTATATTTATTTTCCCGCCTATCGCCATAGACTTTTTTTTTTCATTTATTGTGACTTTGGCGAAAGCCATCAGCCAAGCGCCATAGACTACAATAAATGTTACCTGTATTTACGTTAGAATACAGTGGCGCCACCATAGTTATAAATTGGCAGTTAATAAAAAAAGTATAAACTGTGTATACCATAGATAGCTAAGACTTAGCTGTCTATGTTATGCGAAAATATTTCAAGACAACAACAAATGTGCGTTTAATTGTAACCTAAAAATGATTATAATATCCAAGGATTTGTAAAAGGGAAGATCTACAATTGAATATTTCTGCTGTAAAAAAAGTTAAGAAGAAAGTTGGTGTAGATAATAAAAATGCTCCGGAATACAAGTTTATGTCTAAACCTAAGTTCATTGGTAAAAACATAGCTGTCTATGGTATATCTACGCATAACCTAAAAGTTCTGTGATTCTGTTCTATCCAGTAACAATGTAAAGTACTTATTTGTATGTGTATTTATATTATTGCTAACATCTAGTCATTAAAAAGACAATATTTTTATTTTAAATTTAAGAATATGTATACAGGGTGTAAGGGACAGGTTGGCAAAATTAAAACAGTGAATTCAAGCCATTATTCTGGACTGAAAATCAGTGGAAATCTTTTCCGGAAAATTTCTATTTTTCTCCTGTTTTTTTTTTTATCATTTAAAAGGTAAACTATAATATTATGTCATAATATAAAGAAATAATAATGTTTTATAGTAAAATACTATGAAATACCAAAAGACAGCAATGTAATATTTGCAATGAAATTCTACCGTGACGTTCGAAATCAGCTGTGTAAAGTCAACGCCACAAGCGTACGAAAACTACTTACGAAGAAGCGCCATTGAGCGCGCTGTGTAGGTATCACGCGTCGTGTGGATCGTAAAATTTCAAATACATTGCGCGGCGTCAAAACTAAAAATTGTTAATTATATGGCTGTGGGGTATTTCCGGTGGGAAAACAATCTGCCATCTGATTCAGCGGGTGTACCATGAAATGAACTTCCGAAATTTCATGGTAGGCCCTCAGACCATTCGTCTGAATCAGCTGTTTTCGTTGTGGCCAATCTATCCCTTCCAACCTGTATAATCGATGTTGTATATCCGATGTTTTTGACAGTGGTAGATTTTATATAATTCTGTGTATTTTATATAAGATGAAAATGGAATGGTAACCCCGTCTGCGGTAACGGTATACGCTGGCGGGGCACCAGTGAGGGGTGATAGGTGAAAATGAAAAGGCAGTTAGCCCATCGTGATGAATAGGCGGGAAAGGGATTGTTAGTAATGAGATTAGAAGATCCATTGCTCCATACCTTATCAGGTCGACCTCCACGCGGTTCTGGAGACCATCTTGATTGTTTTTTTTTTATAAATTCATCACTATGGGCCAACTGACCTGCTTTCATGTTTACCTATCATCCCTCACTGGTGCCCCGCCAGTGTATACCGATAGCGCAGGCAGGGTTGCTATTCCATTATCTTCTATTAAAAAAAACGTGAGGATTACACCTGAACTTGAGCACGATGGTTTCTAGAAGGAACCGCGTGGAGGAATTAGTATATTGCTAGCAATGAGACTGGTAGTTTGCATTACTAACAATCCTGGAGCAGAAGCCAGGGCATCAATTAGGGTTGATCCGTGAACATGGAGTCCGATGATTTGGCCTATCGTGACAAAATTACCACGAATTTTTATTATATTTTTTATTATTTTTATTTTGTTTTCTGATCCCTCTGGAACCATGATGGTTTCCAGGGGGATCAGAATGAATCAATCTTTTTTTTACAACACAGGGGGCAAACGAGCATGCGGCATGCAACTCTATATGTATATATTGCTAGAAATCGTGCTTCTAGAAAGGGATTGGTAGGTGGGCGAGTTCTTGGTTCCATTGCTAGCAATACAGGGTGTATCAGATCGACCTGCATACGGCCTCCAAATATTTTACATTTATTAATGATGCTTCTGCCGTACATTTCAACTGACTCCAAAAAAAGGAAGTTCTCGATTTGGTTATATATTTTTTTTTGTTTGCTACCTCATAACTCCGTCATTAATATACCGATTTGGAAAATTCCTTTTTTATCTGAAAGGGTATACTTTCGGATTGTTCTTATAGAAGTTTTATCAAAATCGGTGCAGTGGTTTAGTTTTTAAAACGAAATAACTGGTTTGATTACTATATAAGTTGGTATGTTTTGTGGAACAAATCTGTATATCAGTAAAAATTGTACAAAATCTTATACGAATCTATGATTCTACATATATGACGCTGTAATATTCTGCCCTTGTATTAAATGTTTATTAATAAATTGTACATATAAGGAGTGTTAATTAAATCATTTTGTACATATATATATGTTGTGATAATTATATATATATATATATATATATATATATATATATATATATATATATATATATATATAATAAAATGGATTCGGATTAAGACTCGTGTGGTTTTATTTTTTTCCTTTTTTTTTTATACAACTTAGAATGGCAAACAAGCTGACGGCCCACCTGATGGAAAGTGGTAACCGTCGCCTATAGACATGAGCAGTACCATGCACATAACAGAGTATATTGTTTCGCCCGTGATACCCCCCCATGCGTTGCAATCTACGTGCTTAGGGCTTTCTCAAATGAAAACAAAGTCCTCTCCGAGTCCTGCGTGGAATTTAACATACCATATTAGCCCTTTACTGTCCACTGCTGAACATAAGTTTCTCCCTATAGGGGGTTTTTGCCCGTAGTTGCCACGTTTGGCAGGCGGATTGGCAACCGTAGTTAGGCTTTGGTGATGTTTAAAGAGGGACGCTGCTGCCTATCCCTAGCTCTCCCCTAGTCGCCTCTTACGACACCCACGGGAAAGGAAGGGCTGGCCCATTCTATGCCGAGAGTCGTGTAAAAAAATCACTTTGTGTAAGCGTAACTGGAGAAAAATTGTACATTTAAACATTGTTTTGCCTTCAGGCGGACCGTATGCTTCTTCAACCGACTTCAAAAACAAGGTTTACAATTTTTTTTATGTTTGTAACCTCATATCTCCAACATCAGTTGTAAACCGATTTGGTAAATTCTTTTTTTTATCTGAAAAGATATAGAATGGTTTAATTAGTTTAAACCCATAAAATTTTATCAAAATTGATAGATAGATAGATAATTTATTTGCATCACTTACAGCACACAAACAGCAAAAGACACAAATGCAAAGTGAAAAAAGATACATGTACAAAAAATTAAAAAAAAAATGATATTTGTGTTTTACAATTGAAGTACATTTTTTTGTACACAATCTTTAATCATCCCACTGCAGTATCACATGTCTGGGTGAATTAATAAAATATTATCCAGACGTATTTCACATATGGACGGGAGCACCTAAATACCAGCTTGAATCCTTCCGACTGAATGCAACGACGAGCTATGAGAATTATCGGTAATCCCAGGCTTACAAGCGGTAACGAACCCTTAAGTCTTAGGAGAGGTTTTGCCTCACTCAGCGTGTTCTACCGCTTGTACAACAGATTGGGCTTAGAGGAATTGAAACTGTAGTTTCCAACCCACCTGCCAAACGTGGCAACCACTGGCAAATCCCATTTTTATGGGGAAGGCCTATGTTCAACTGTGGACAATTCACTGTTGACATGATAATGATGATGATGACGCTCTATATTAAAATAAAACAGTAAATGCGTAATGAATAACTATTTAATACAAAATCACAGCTTCAATTGTCATTAAAGGCACTGAGTACTATACTTACAAGACTATTAAATAGATAGAGTAACATGAAACCGATATTAACATATTAATGCGAGACAATGCTGATAATAAGTCCTTTTATAACAAAAGAAAAAGAAAACAACTATATTAAAATCGGTTCATAATTAAATCACGCTTTAAATAAACTCTTATAATGAAAAAAAAAAAAAACAATCCGTTGATAACAGCAATCGATAAACTTTGCCGATTGTAAATCGAACAAAAAAAAAAGTAAATTTCTTTTTCAAATTAAGAACCTTTTTGTAGTAAATCATAGATAAAGAATTCGCCTGCTTCAAGAGCCGCATTCTCTTTCTAAGTATAAAATTCAAACTATAACTTAAAATCTAGTGCAGCGCACTAATAAAGTCTTATATAAAATAATAATATTCAAACAAAACAAATGCAATAACCAACGAGAGGTTATTGACACCCCTACATTATATATATATATATATATATATATATATATATATATATATATATATATATATATATATATATGCGACATATCACCTTTATTCATTCATGTCTCCACATGAATATCTGTAATAGATATGAATAACAATGCGCTATGGGGAGAGGGGGGGGGGGGAATTACCAGTCCCATTGCTAACAATATAGTCAGTCTGTCAGATGGCCCTCCCTGGAAACCATCATGCTGCATTCCAAATGTATTCATCACGATACGCTAACTGATCTGCTTCTTCATCCTCACCTATCATCTCTCACTGGTACTCCGCAAATGTATACCTATAGCGCAGGCGGGGTTGCCATTCCGTTATCAACCATTAAAAAAAACACTGCATGTCACGATACGTCAAGTCGCCTCTTCAAACCAACCTGACACATATAGCGAAGTACTGAGAAAAATGAAATGAACTTGGAGAAAATTAGTGTAATTTTTTGGACTTGTAAATACTCTTTTAATATTAATAATATAAGATTTTTCTTTTTTGGTATAACATTTTCTAGCTGTTAGTTTTTCTTTAATAAAAAATAAAAAAAAATACATAAATAAATTAAACGAACGAGTCACTATTTAGCTATCTCTTCCAGGCAACCTTAAGATGGAGAGAAATAATAAAAATTGTGTCTGGTCAAGACGTAACAGAAAAATAATAAGGCTAAAAGAGCGAGAAGAAAAGGGACAAAAGATAAATTTAAACGCAATATGGACAGTATAAATTAAAAATATACTTACACATAATAAGCGATTGATGAATGTGGAGGAAGCGAAAGAGGTTTGTTTGAATCGAAGCATTTGGCGTTCCATTGTTTCTGCCTACCCTAATGGGAAACAGGCGTGACATAATAAGCGTAAATAAATAATACATATATAAACTAATGTAAAGATAAATATATTAATATGTATTAGGTATGTACTAGCTAGGACGGAGATGTTTATCTTCAATAACAATTATTGACTTAAATCTATTAGAGATTTAGTTCATACACATATTTAGAGATGGCGCTAACAATTATTGACTAAAATCTATTAGAAACTTAGTTCATACACATTTTTAGAGATGGCGCTGTGTATAAATTTAAATTTCGAGATTGGTTTAGACCAGTGATTCTCAACCTTTTTTTTTGTTGCGGCACATATTTAACGATTTCAAAATTTGGCGGCACACAAAGAAAAAGATAAAAATTTACTTACGACATTATGACAAAAATTTGAAATATTTGCAAAATTTGGCGGCACACAAAAGTGCCGAGGCACAGTGGTTGAGAATCACTGGTTTAGATAAATGACGTCTAAGTTCAGTTCAGTGTCACATAATTGCCCTCAGAGACAAATAGAGAGTACGAAATAAAACTTAGTTATTCATGAATAAAATCACTATTCATAATAATACTGTTCTCGGTGACGGAATATTGGAAGGCATTAAGAGAGTTGCGGAACTGCCTGAACAACTGGTGATGCTCCTCGGTGTTGGGCAGGTCCTGCAGTACTCTTAGCGCGTGGCAGGTCTCCTTGAAGTGCACCTTAGGGACGGAAACAATAATAATAATCTATTTATTGAACTATATACAATATATTTACATGTAGTCCTGACTCCCAAACTAGCGTTAACTGTATGCCAGGAGTCAGTGCCTTCCCAAGTTACGATTTAGTTATTTATTTATTTATTACATCCACTGGGTGTGCCTTACAGTCTCCCAATACGCCCACCCAGGAAAGCATGAATACAACAACATATAAAAAAAAATTACATATATACAACAAGAATAATATAAAAAGACTTAAACAAAAACGTCTGAACACAAATACTCTGTGGTCACCCGACGAAACTCCAGCAAGTTGGAGGCAAATACATCCAATTGCGGATACCGGCTCAAAATATCATTGAGTAGTTTCAATGCAAGAGATAGAGGAGCCTGCTTAGCCAACTCTGTTCTTCGTAATGGAACATCGAATAAGTGCCGTCGACGTGCTCGCACGTAGTTACTGGGCGCTCCTATTGATATTGATTCCAGTACAGTTTGGTTACACTTATATAATATACTTTGGTTATACTTATAGTTCCATATACAGTGGACACGTTTTTTTTTTATACAACTTAGAATGCGAATCAGGTAAGCCGCATGCTCGTTTGCCTATTGTGTTATAAAAAAGGGAACTAATCGTTAAATAATTCAAGTACCTTGTCAGAGTTAGGATACACGGTGCCGACGGTGGCGCGCCATTTACGAAAAGACTTGAGCTGTTCAGGCTCCAACTTGGCCGACCTGGTTGTTTGGTTACTCCAGTTATTTTCACACACACGGCATTCACACACCACGTCCAGTGCGGTGAAGAGCTTCTTCTTTCTACCCTCGTGATGTATGTTCTCATACCAATGGCCCCTGAAAAAAAAAAACAAATATCTATGAACTAGAACTAGGTAATATATAGCAATATATATATTGTGGGGGGAAAGGGATTGTTAGTAATGGAGACTGAGAATCCCATTGCTAGCAATATACCCAACCAGGTCAACCTCCTCGCGGTTCCCCCTGTAAACTATCATGGTTAATTCCTGATGAATTCATCATGATGGGCTAACTGGCCTGTTTTCATTCTCATCTATCACCCTTCACTGGTGCTCCGCCAGCGTATCCCGTTAGTGCAGGCGGGGTTACCATACCATTGTCACCCATAATATATATATATATATATATATATATATATATATATATATATATATATATATATATATATATCCAAATATCCAAATGAGTGATGACCTTTTTCCCCGTCCAGAGGAATTCGATATACAGATATTGGAAGAGTATCAATAAACTTATACCTAATAAGGATTAAAATGTTATACTTTTATCCTATAATATGGATACTGATCCGATATCTATAATATATAAATATAATATATATATAGCGTGTCGGTATCCATATTATCCATGCCTAGATTTTACCAGAGGGAGGTTTTGTACAAAAGTCGATTGCTTGGGTACCTCTGTCGCATTCGTGTTTCTACCGTGAAACAGTTGTATTTGCATGGCTGTGTTTCGGTTTGAAGGGTGGGATATGGCGTGAATTTACAGGGTACAGAGGAATAACATCTGAGTCCTCAGGAATGACAACGCATGGGGGGTATCATGGGCGAAACAGTATACTCTGTTATGTCCATGGTACTGCTCATGTCTATAGGCGACGGTTACCACTTTCCATGAGGTGGGCCCTCAGCTTGTTTGCCATTCTAAGTTGTATAAAAAAAAAACAGTGTGCTAGTCACTCAGCGTCCCCCAGCTTACTTACATATAGCAAATCGTAAGCTCAGTCCCCTTCTTTATCGGTTTCACAGCCACTAATCCAATCTTATCGTTGAGTCCGACAACCAGGAGATTTGGTTCGCAACAATGCTTCAATTTATTCGCGAAGGAGAACCAACCGAAATTGGGCTCCGGCTCGCTCGTCACATTATTCGTCAAATAATTTTGAGCTGCATTTATTATTTCGATTTCAAAAGGATACGTTACAAACAAATGCAACATGATACTTCCCAGTGCGTACATTGCCTCTAATCTCTTTTTCGGGTCCTGAGGATAGTATCCTGGGATCTCTGACAAACGGTTGACGATGGCAGCATAATAAAAACTTTGATTAAAAATCTTTCCATGAACAAAATGTTTCCCGTTATTGAAGTTCAAAATCGAGAAGGTATTCCGAGAATCATAGATCTCCGAATCGGAGCGGTTTCTCAATTTGTCGGCGGTTAGATCTTGTGAAGCCGCCACCAACTCGTCCCAGCTTTTCGCCTGCTTCATCTTTAGAGCAGCTCTCACTGGCAAAACGAATCTGGCATCCGATCTTTCGGGAAAAATGTGATCCATTATTTGACATTCTGTTCTATGGAATTCGTCCATGCAGAGTTTCTTGCACATCTCGTCACAGAAGAGCGCGTAGCAGCACCCGTCGCAGGGGATTAAGTTCAAATTAAATTTGAGACAGTTGTAGCACGATATCAGTTGGTTCATGTCGTTTCGGTGGGTAACATACGCGCGTTCTACTGCTACAAGTTTCCCCACGTCTATATTTTTAGTAGCTACAACCTTTGGTAGGCCATTTTCTCTAACGACTCCAATGTCTGCGATTGCACAATTAATATCCTTATTGCGTTTCATGTTGAACGTAAAATAGTCCATACCAAATGAGCTCTGTAAAGCTAAGTTTTTAAAGTTTTCAAAAGGTAAAATAGATGTTAGCTCCTTTTTCATTTTCATCAGATCTTCGAGAGCGTCTCTATCCTGTGGCTTCATAACGGCCAGACAATTTTCAATGTCGTTCAAGCCGGCAATTGCGGCTTTTACAAGACACAGTATCTTTGCTCTGAAGTAGTAAACGGAAAACATATGATCAGAGTTCTTTGGAGCGTATAAGAGCATTTCGTTGCATTTCTCTAGCGCAACGTCTATGCATCTGGAACGTAAGTAAGCACGGGCTTCGTAGATAAAGGAAGCCGCTTTATCGCTATTTTTTCTTCTAATGTCAGGCAAGGGAACAATCTCTGTGTTCCGAACTACATCTAGAGCTATCTTAATGACGCTAGCAATGCCATCGTCTTCCAAAGCTGTATACATCTTGGCCAGATAACCTTTTGAGGCCAAAATTGTTAGTATTTCAGGCAATCTTTTGCCACAGACGTCATTCATGTTTGTGTATTCTATAAAGAAAAAAAATATATTTATTTCCTGCTATAATTAATAATAAAAAAAAAATTACAGAAAAAGAATAATGGCGCACACACACAGGTGTATGAGTATGCCACGTTCTTTTGGAAGCGTTCAAGTAATACGTAATACAATTTGAGGGTGTAAAACATCACGATGCGTTACAGGGGCGGGAGGGGGTTTAAACAATGTGTTACGTAAGTGTTTTTTTTTTACTTAAATAAAAACTAGAGAATTAAAATTTCCCAAGTTGGCAACCCCTCGTGTTTATGTTTTCTAGGGAATCCCTCGACAGTATTGTACGCACGTCATCTCATTTTTTTTTAATGGGTGTTAATGGTATGGTAACCCTGCGCTATTGCTACACACTGGCGGGGTACCAGTGAGGGATGACAGATGAAGATGAAAGTAGGTCATTTAGCCCATCCTGACGAATTAAACTAGAATTAGTCACGATGGTTTCCAGGGGGAATCATGTAAAGGTCAACCTGACAGGGTATATTGCTAGTAATAGGACTGTTTAACACCCCATTACTAACAATCCCTCCCCCCCCCACCCCGTCATCTCAATTAGTTATCCTAAATCGACAACCCTTTTTGTTTATGTTTTACGGGGAATGCCTTGACTTAACTCGTATTGTTAGTCATATTTACTTTGGTTTTGTTGTTAGTATTTGTAATTTTTTTAATAAAAAATAATTTATTTATATGTTCAAAAACACGTTATACAGATATGCCAGTAATAATATGAACATGCTTGTTTTGCCAAAACAATGGCATGCACAATTTTAGTATATTATAGTTTTTTTTTTCAAATACTAATGTCAAAAGTATCATATGTATGTATAAGCTATAAGAACATAAGTGGAATGTTTTTTCTAGTCTAACAAGTCCTTAATTGAAAAATAACACTTGTCCAAAAGCCATTGTACAGTGTGCTCTTAAATTGTCTCAATGTCTTTATATTTTTAATATTTTCTGGTATATTATTATTATTTTTAATCTTTAAAATAATTAGATAAAAATATCTGTATAATATAGAACATAATTGCTTTTGTGGTCCTAATATAGAGGGACAATTATATCATTTTGTTATATTATCATTCATTATTTTGTTATATTTCAGCATTTCCAGTGAAAGATAAACATATATATATATATATAGTTAAATAAACTAGTTATATATTACAATTCTTAAAAACTTAAATAACAGCCTGATTAATTATGAACTTATTTACTTACATAATCTATTATATATATATATATATATATATATATATATATATATAATATTATATATATTTCATAGAATCACAAAAAAAATTATAGATCAGTCCCATTCATGATCAGTACCCGACCCAAAGGTCCCCATGACACATGGCATTTTTACATTGGATTGCCAGAGATATCCTTTGAGCCATATATGAACCAGAACGGGGATCATGGCCCCTATGTTGATCTCCATTTAGTTCACTCTGGAAACCATCGTGCTGAATTTCAGATGTATTCATTACTATGGGCTAACTGACCTGCCTTTTCATTTTCACCCAAATTGTGTACATATCATCCCTCACTGGTACCTCACCAGCATATACTCATGGGGTACAATTCCATTATCATCCATTTTTCAAAAATTTTCCTCTTCTATTGATGAAAACTGCATTAAAATCCATTGCATTGTTTAAAAGATCTAAGCGAACAATTGGCAGAAGTGACTTTATTTTATATATATATATGTAATATAGAATACAGTGGGTTATGTGTCCATGGTTAATGGCTTTAGCCTGATATTAGGACACTATGGTAATTTTTTTTGCAATTTTGAAGGTATATATCAATGAAATTGTTTTATGGCCAATTTTATTATTAAACTATTTATTAAAAAAATTTACAATATGAATATAAATAATTATAAACTACAGAATATATTAAATAACTATATAATACTAACAACAATTACGACATGAATACATACACAGCAATACTTAAATAATGAATAATAATAAGGAAATACGTAGCTATCGTGATACAATATCAATGGCTGGATAACATTGTAACGGATCCTTAGACTATTTCTAAAGTGAAAAAAGTGTCGTCCTCCTCTCTCGTACTCGCTGCGCCCAACACGGTCCATAATTGAAATGTTATCTACTAAGTATATTATGGAATGCAATAAGAAATAAATATTTTCTAATATATATATATATATATATATATATATATATATATATATATATATATATATATATATATATATACTGTAATGCTTTCCACAGGTAACCGCATGGAGATAGACCTGATAAGATATATTGCAAGCAATGGGGCAGTTAGATCCTAACAAATGCTTTCCCCCACCAATGTCAGGTCAACTTACACTCGTAACATCCCCTGTGCTAAATTAATAAACTCATGTATACACAGACAAGATATTTTTTTTTAATGGATGATAATGGAATGGTAACCCCACCCGCGCTATCGGTATACACCGGCGGGGCACCAGTGAGGGATGATAGGTGAGGATGAAGCAGGTCAGTTAGCCCATCGTGACAAATTCAACAAGGATTATTCACGATGGTTTCCAGGGGGAACCACGTGGAGGTCAACCTGATAGGGCATATTGCTAGCAATGTTGAACTCCATTGCTAACAATTCCATTCCCCCCAAAGACAAGATATTAGACAGTTAAGACATCATGATCAATTCACTAGAGATTGTAGATTCCATAGGAGATCATGTGGAGATAGATCTTAAAGAATACATATTTACTGTGTCTTTCTTGTGTCTCTGTATTTACTGTCTTACTAGCGCCATCTACCTTCTGTGTATTTACCTACTACTTTATGGCAGGTTGTCTGCAAGAGAATTAGTAATAAGTCTTTTTTATTGCATATTCTGGATCAATATTTTTTGTATACAATTATTTTGTATGCAAAGAGTAAAGTTTTATATAATGCAATAGGACAATTACACCCCATTTACTAACAATCTCTCTACCCTCTGGGTATAGAAGTAACTCATATTTGGATAAACGGGGGCATAATTGCCTATTTATCTTGGTAAATCAACATATCTATCACGCGGACGAATACGCGAGTAAAAGTTAGTAATAGTAAAATTAAATGAAATAATAATTAAACAATTTATATAATAATATAATTCACTTACCCAATTAATTTTCACACACCAAAAAAAGAAAGTTAATGTGAAAAAAAATTATTTGGAAACAATTCAAAATAGGGAGGTAATTGTGATTTAACCTTTTTTTTTATTATTAATATGTTTTACGGCTCTGGATACACGTCCTTTTAAGCCCGACATTATAAAGAATTCACTTTAAATTGTGTGATTTACCCAAATCAAAAGTGTTACCAGATGTTATTTTTTAACCAAATGTCACAATTTTTCCTCAATTTTCACAACATTTTTGCCGCATAATCAATTCACAAAGAAAAATCGCTATATCAATGCGTGAATTTACTTTATATGACCACAAATTGATCGACTGAGTAATTAATTCGAGTTATTCGAATGTGTTTGAAAATCATTCGACTGCGGATTTTATTAATTCACCATACTGCTTCTACTAAGTTCATTCACTCATATACGAGTCGGTACGAATGTAGCCGAGTCGGGCCGATCGCTCGAATGACGAGACTTTTTTGTTTGAAAAGGACATACTTTTTTGTAATATTAATCGTTTAGACCTAAGTACTAATTAATCGAAAAACAAAACCATTCGAATTTGCATACTGCTAAATCACCCTTCTCAAAGTCGCTGCTACATTGCTAACTTCTTTGATATATTCTATTAAATTTATAACTGTTATACGACCTACAAAATAACGAAATTGCTAAATATATTATTCAAATTTCTGTACATCTATTTTATTTTCTTCAAAAACTTCTTCACCAATTTCATTTGTTAATTTTTTTTACGCACATTTATGAAAAAAGTATCTGTGCTAGCAGTATTTATATATATTTTTTTTTATGGATGAAAATGGTATGGTAACTCCGCTTCCGCTAACGGGATACGTTAGCGGAGCACCAGTAAAGGGTGATAGATGAGAATGAAAACAGGCCAGTTAGCCCATCATGATGAATTTATCAGGAATTAACCATGATAGTTTCCAGGGAGGAGCGCGAGGAGGTAGACCTGGTTGGGTATATTGCTAGCAATGGGATTCTCAGTCTCCATTACTAACAATCCCTTTTCCCCCGTCAGTATTTATATTGTCATGCTAAATAATAAAACCATGACGAATATTACAATTGTTTAAGAGAAATTAAATAAGCATGTTATTTAAACAATAAACAAACATTAATAAATTATTGGGATACAATTACACGGAATAATGATTAATGTGATATACTTGATTCATTTTAGCATGTATCAAGTCATTGCTGAACGTAGGCCTTCTTCAGTAAACTTTAAAATGTCTATAGGCCTTATCTATCACTGCCTGTCTTCATAATATATTTATTAAAAATATACCATTTGTCTGCTAGATGAACTGTCATATCTGTCTGTTTACTGTATATCTATCTATTTTTTTTTTTTTATTGTACGGATAATCTGGTAGTATTGTTTTATTGTTACACTATTCCCTTTCGCCGCAACAGAATATCAGTGCTTTGCTCTTTTGAGGGCGAAGCGATAAACTGAGTTGTGGCCATTTTGTATTGCTATGGCACACTCACAAACGAAAATTGTATTTAGCTTTGTGTATTTTTTTTTTTTATAATTTATGTTATCTCGCTTTTTACGTATATTAGTATATGTTGTAATTTGTGTGCTGTAAGTAATGCAAATAAATTATATATCTATCTATATCAACAGATATAATTAATAATTCTTACTAATCAATTACAAGTATAGAATAAATAAATTAAACGACAGTAGATATAGAACTATTAGTTATTACTAGCTAAATGTCAAACAACATATCGATAACCTATTCCATATAATCGATATTTAGATGGAGCCGATTTTATTTTTGTTTATTCGATTATGAGGCAACACTACTACGCATAAAAGGGTAAATACCTACAGTATATAAATTAACCTATTTATTTATACAAACTAAAACCTTCTGAATACCTAATAACGATTTTTTTTTGATGGGTGAAAATGGTGTGGTAACCCCGCCTGCGCTAACGGTATACGCTGGCGGAGCACCAGTGAAGGGTGATAGATGAGAATGAAAACAGGCCAGTTAGCCCATCATGATGAATTCATCAGGAATTAACCATGATAGTTTCCAAGGGAAACCGCGAGGAGGTCGACTTGGTTGGGTATATTGCTAGCAATGGGATTCTCAGTCTCCATTACTAACAATCCCTTTCCCCAACGATATTTAACGGGAGCGGATTTTATATTTATTCATTCGATTATCAGGCAACACTACTACGTATGTAGGGTAAATACCTACCGCAGGAAGGAGAAGGCATCGTTAATAATGGGAATTGGTAGTCCCATTGCTAGCAATATACTCTCATGTCGACCTTCTCGTGGATCCCACTGGAAACCATAGTGATTAATTATGGCAGTCTATAGGGAGGCCTATGTCTGACAGTGGGTAGGTAGTGGATGAGATGTTGATAAAAGTGATTTAGATATTAACATTTTTTCCTCTAAATTCCACACTAACACAATAATGGGTAAAAGGCTAATGTATACTGTGTGTGCCCCAATCGCACTGTTTATAATTACTCTTCTGTTGTATGTGTGCTGTTAAGTATGTGTATGTTATGTATATATTTTATTGTGTATATATTATATATGTACATACATATATGTATGTACATACATATATGTATGTATGTATATATGTTTGTATATGATAATATTTATATATTAGTGCGCCACCTACCCTTTGTCTTTTTCTCAATGTCCTCTACCCAAAGGTTGTCTGGAAGAGATTGCTTAGCGATACGACCGCCTTTTGTATCACTTCTCATTAATATTTACTGTATTTGTTATTTCTCTTGTTACTTGGTGCAATAAAGTGTAAATAAATAAAAAAAAAATATATAATTACTCTTCTCCATCCAAAAGTTGCATGGAAGATAGCTCTTAGCGATAAGGCCGCACATTGTTTTCTCAGTGTAATATTTTCTTGTAATTGTTTGTATCTATAATAAGTTTACTATTGTAATCTTATGGAGGAAACAATAAAGAGTATCTATTTATCTGTAACATAAAGACAAAAGATAGACAGATAGATACTCTTTATTGTTTCCTTCAAAAGATTTGATTTTTGTTTGTATAAGATAAACTCAAAAACTATTCAGATGAATTAAAAAAAAGTTTTCATCTATAGAAAGCTACATTATTAATGAATAACATAAATGAAGTTTGAAAATTCTATCTACTCATAGAAGAAAATAAAAAACCATGAAAGTTAGTAAATTTTTTTATTCATTCACTTTATCCAACAAATCAACATAAGCACATTCTATTAAGTCTTCATCTTTTACTTGCAGAGCTTTTTGAAGGTCACGGGCGATGGCTTGGCCTTCTTCCACACTCTGCTCTGGTGTCAGCACCACCTCAAGCTCCATGAAGTGTCCAAGACCTTGAACGGAGTCTATGTGAACGCGTGTTTGACCGACCATGTATAGTTTCCTATAAATGAAATAAGTGCCAAATAAAAGTTGCTATAAACAGGAAATAATTGAGTGCAGAAAGAGATATTTATTTGGTAGATTCCAATAACAGTCTCAACAGAAACAAAAACAATATTTTTCCTAATGGATGGGCAGCGCCCCTTTCAAAACATCACCAAAGTCTAACTGTGGTTGTCAATTCACCTGCCAAGCGTGGTAACTACTGGCAAAATCCCCAACAGGGGAGGCCTATATTCGGCAGTGGATAGTAGACAGCTGGTATGATGATGATGATATTACAGAAACAACTGGATGCGGCAGATGGTGATGAAGAAGGTCAGGCTGACATGTTACTTTTTAGTAGTTGTTAAAAAAATTACAACTTTTTTATTTTTTTTTTACCAAACAATTGGACGATTTGCATACTAACCTTTCTTTAACGACTCGACCGCGAGAACCCAAACATTTCCTTAATAATTCGTCTAATTGTTTAGCTTTCTGGCCATCAACTGCGGAGAATTCAACCAAATCGTAGTCAGACAGCTTCGGACCTTCTTCGTCGTCCCGATCGTAGCGAACCAGCGTAGCTGAAGAGTCTGAATAGAATCTCATTTTCAATCGTCCTCGATTCACTTTATAGAATGTATCATCTTGTAAAATAATTTTCGGTGGACCGCCGCTGAGTTCTTCGGCTATTTTACAAATGTTATCGTAATTTGTAATACGAGCTTTAATTTCAATATTCCGCATTTTTTATTGGAAGTTTCTTTAATAGATTTAATTGATAGTTTCAAGTCAAGCGCAAAAAAATTTAAAAAGATATTTTTGTATTGTAATCGGAAAAAGGTAACGAAAAAATAAAAATTATGAAAAAATATGTCTAAAAGCAGATAAAAAATAAGATCATATGGCGGGAAAATTTATGACATTGAAATGTAACTTTTGACATTATTTTTTTTTAGATGTTTACCTTAAATAACAAGGTATTAATCCCACAAAAAAAGAAAAAAAAAAAAAAAAAAAGGTATTAATCAAAAATAAAATTATGTGGACCAAACAATTTAATATACATCCTATTGTAAAGAAACTTTAAATATAAAACATTTCAAGCGCTATTCATTTTTACTATTTTTAAATTAGTTATGTCTGATATAAAGTAAAAGAAATATTCAAAAAATATTATTTTGAATTATGCCTGACTGAAATAAAAAAGATATAAAAAGTTGTCAAAGTCAATGTTGTCAATGTCATTGTCAAAAGAGAAATATTGAGCCGAATAGGTCGGTATAGGTATTAGGTATTTTCAATTTTTAAAATTTTATTTACTTTTTTTTTATTATTTTATAGAAGTATAACAAAAATTAAAAAAAATATAAACAATGGATATAGATAATATTAAAAGCTGGGTATCGCAGCCAGATGTATGTAGATGCTGTCTTTCAGCCAGCGGCACTTGGGATATGACCGCTTCGTATGTTACCGAGTCTGGAGTTAAGGAAGTATACAATGATATGCTGCAAGACTGTTATGGAATAACTGTAAGTCTTTGTAAAATATGATTTATAACATTAATTATAGAGATCTCTTTTATTGTAATTATTAATCACTAGTTTTTACACGCGACTTCATCCTTTGACCGAAATATGTTGATTGTCCGACATAAAAGAAGCCTACGTTCTTTTTTATCTCAAATACTGTGTGTATACCAAATTTCGTAGCATTTTATTAAGCTGTTAAATCTTGAGCACCATTCCTTTATAATTTAATAGAACAACCTAGGACTCGAAGTCCTGGCGATGTGCTGTCACTTCTCCTAATGGAGATGCTAGGAACATACACAGGAATCTCATTACTAATGGTAATGAGGTTTAACACATCCATTACTAAAAATACTCCCTGACAGGTCATGATTCTCCCTGGAAACCGTAGTAGTTTATTTTTGAAAAAATAATCATGATGAGCCAACTTACCTGCTTCATTTTCGCCTAACATCTCTCATTGGTACCCCGCCAGCGCATACCGTTAGCGCAGGTGGGGTTACCATTTCATTATCATCTATTAAAAAAAAAAATGGTGATACCATTTGGAGAGAAGTAATTGTTAGTAATGGGAACTAGTGGTCCCATTGGTAAGCTCTATCAGGTTGACTTTCATATGGTTCTCTTTAGAAATCATCATGATTATTTTTGATAAATTTATCATGATGGGCCAACTGATATTCCATCATCATCTGTCGTTCATTCCCTTGGCCCATTGTGAGGAATAGACCTGGGATACAGTACAATCGTTTCCAGGGGGGACCACATGGAGGTCTACCTGACAGATATTGCTAGCAATAGAGGGAAAGGGGGTTAACAGTCCTATTGCTAACAATGTATCCTTTTAGGTTGACCTCCATGCCTTTCTGCTAGAAATCATCATGGTTAATTATTGATGAATTCATCACAATGGGCTAACTGATCTGCGTCATTCTCATCTATTATCCATACCAGTGCCCTGCCAGCCTAAACCAATAGCGTAGGCTGGGTTACTGATTCATCACCTATTAAAGAAAAATTGCTGGCAATAGGAGATTTTCATTAACAATCTTTGTAATAGGTGTTATACCACAGGGCCCTTAGCCAATTAGGGCCTCTAAGCAACTGCCCGGCTTCTGTGGACTTAAAGTGACCTCTTTCAGCTCTCTCACCTAACACAATGGGGACCCAGCCATCTAATGTGCTCGTTATGTGCCTCTCATCTCCGTGATGCCAACACCTTCCGGGAGCAAGTGTTGCAAGCTGACAAGCATTTCACTGCTTACTGGAGCCGACCTGGTAAGTAGAGTCATCATCTACACTATCTTACTCATCATCATAATCAACATACAGCCATTAACTGCACTAGCTTACTAATATAAATAAGTTGGGGGGAAGGGATTGTTAGTAATGGGGAGGTTAGTCCCCATTGCTATCAGTATATCAGGTCAACCTCCACCCAGTTCCCCTTGAAAACCATTGTGATTCTTGTTGAATTCTTCATGATGGCCCGACTGACTTGCCTCCATCCTCATCTATCATCCCTTACTGGTGTTCCGCTTGTATACCAATAGTGCAAGCGGGGCTACCGTTCCATTATCACCCATTAAAAAAATATTAATAAATTGTAACTAGATGGTATCTTGAACCAGGGGACTACAGATATCTTAAACCGCGGGATATCGTTAGGGTAACACATAGGATCTATGAAATGATGGTATAAGGCAGGGGGAAGCACAAAAAATCCCGATGGGTCGACGTGCAACAGTTTAGCTGACTCCATAGGCGAATATAAGATAAGATGGTATCTTCTACAGGATACTTCTATGGATTACAGTAGTAAACTTACTATAGATACAAACAATTATAAGAGATATTTAAAAAAAGTATAGATATAAGGGATCCTTTGAGTTTGGATTTACCAGACTGAGACTTTGTACAAAAGTTGTTTGCTTAGGCACCTCTGTCACAATCGTTGAAGCAGTTGTGTTTGCATAATTCTGTTTCGGTATGAAAGGTGGGATATGCTAATAGTTTATTTGCCAATAGTTGCCATGCTTGGCAGGTGGATTGTGGTGCAATGTTAGGCCTTGGTGATGTTTAAGAGAGATGTTGCTGCCTATCCCTCGACAATTAAATTCCCTAGGACACTTTACCACCAAACACAACTGCTTTACGGTTGAAACACAAATGGGACAGAGGTACCCAAGCAATCGACTTTTGTACAGTCTCCCTCTGGTAACAAATATATAATATATATAGATATCGGATACGTAATATATAGATATTGGATGTTACACATCTCTAATATCAATCTATTATGTTTCCATCTGATTTCAGAAGCGTTCAGTGATGTTCCAATAAAATGCGAAGGCGCAAGTCCACATTCGGATTCAGCTGAGCCTCCATACACAGATGGTATGTACTTTTATAATTCTATTATTAACTCATGATGTCCCACTGCTAGGCAAAGGCATGGAGTTGATCGCGCTAAATCTAAATTTAAAATTATTTAGTTTAATAACTTGTTAGCAAGGGTAGGATTGTCTCTAAAAGAGATCTCTTCCAGCCAATCCAGTGCAGTTAATTATTATATGAATGATCAAAGATTTTGAATCTGTTCACGCTTAACCCTTCTTTGCATAATGGTGGAAATTTCCATCATAACATTGAATGCCCAAAAATTATATAAAAGAACAAGTTCACTTTAAGTTGATCGTGTCTGGATACCTTTTTAATGACCATTGCAGAAAAAAAAAGCAAAGCTGTCAAATTTATTTAATTAACCATTTTTCCTTTAATTTCGAACATGAATTTATACCACCTTGATTTATTTCACCAATAAAAAAAAACATACAATGAAGGGATTGTTAGTAATGGAGACTGAGAATCCCATTGCTAGCAATATACCCAACCAGGTCGACCTCCTTGCGGTACTCCCTGGAAACTATCATGGTTAATTCCTGATGAATTCATCGTGACGGGCTAACTGGCCTATTTTCATTCTCATCTATCACCCTTCACTGATGCTCCGCCAGCGTATACCGTTAGCGCAGGCGGGGTTACCATACCATTTTCATTCATCAAAAAAAAAACAGGATGTTATCTACCAATCACCTTATGGAATGCAATAAGAAATAAATAAAGATATAAACTACTTTTTATTCCAGTCAGTAAATATATCCCAATCATGGAGACGAACTCGCGGGTAAAAGCTAGTAGCTAATAATTTTGCGTTATTTTTTTTTTTTTAAGAGTTCCCTCTTGTCGGTGCAACTAATTCATGCATCTTCCTCCAGCTGGTTCTATCCCAGGCCATATCCTTGACCTCCCTATACGACATGACACCTAGTGTTTCTTTTATCTGTTCCATGTAATAGTTATTCCTCGGTCTTCCCCTTCCTCTTTTGCCTTCTATTTTTTCTTCTACTGTATTCTTTAAAAATCGTCATGTCGTATAAGGCGGCCCAGCATTTTGCCTCTTCTATTCTCTATTGTTTTTACTAATGTTCGTTTCTCCTTAATCCTTTTCAAGACTTCCCCATTCTTTACTTTTTCTGTCTAGCTTAAATTTAAAAAATGAAAATAGTTTTATATTTTTTATAAATTAATTTCAGACGAAAGCAATATTACACTGAACAGTTACATAAGTCCAGAAAAATCCAAGGCGTTAAGAAAGAGAGAGAAGTCGGGCGTAAAGAGCAAAAGAGAGAGAAAAAAGATCAGTTCGGACGACGACTATGATTCTGACGTGCCAATTTCGTTGTTGGTGAAGGACGGCGATATGGGGAGACTTGAAGGGAAGAAAGAGACAGATGTAAGGACTAAAGGTATGTGTATAAGTTAGTTTTTGATATCTTTAAATATAAACCTATTAATATGTGTGTATATATATATATATATATATATATATATATATTTGTTAATTTATGTAAATTATTATTTTTTACCAGACTTGTGGTGGCTATAAGGGTATTTTGACATGTAAAACTATATCCATGTACGTACAGAGGGGAATGAACGACACCCTTCTTTCTCTCCCCTTCTGTTTTCCGCAATTAACGTTTCAGAGTGCTCCTGTAGTAATAGAAAAAAAAAAAGTTTAGCTACTTTGCATTAATCCTGCATTGAAAATCATTATACATTAAATTCTTTTTGGGGCGTTTTGGTCATTTTTTCTAAATTCTGTACCAATTTTTCCTTTAGTAGTTTTTTTTAATGGATGATAATGGAATTCTAATCCCACCTGCGCTTACGGTATACGCTAGCGGGGCACCAGTGATCACCTATCACCAGTGAAAGATGATAGGTGAGTATAAAAAGGCAGGTCAATTAATCCATCGTGACGAATACACCTGGAATTCAGCACGATGGTTTTTAAGGGAGACCACGTGGAGGTCGACCTGACAGGGTATATTGCTAGCAATGGGACTGGTACTTCGCATTGTTAACCCTTCTCTCCTCCTCTAATAGTTATATATACCATTTAAAAACTGTATTTAATTCAGACTTCTTTTGCCTGCTTCAATTTTAGGTGCCTATGTTCCTGCAACATTTTTTTTATTTAACCCTTATTTGCATAACGGTGGAAATTTCCATCATAAAATTGAATGCCCAAAAATTATATAAAAGACCAAGTTCACTTTAAGTCGATCGTGTCTGGATACCTTTGTTAATGTCCATTGCAAAAAACAAAACATAGCTGTCATATTGATTTTCTTTAACCATTTTTCCTTTAATTTTGAATGTGAATTATATCACCTTGATTTATTTCTCCAATAAAAAAAAAATCATGCAAAGAAGGATTAATTATGACGTCACTCATAAGGGGGAGGGGCGGTCATTGTTAGTAATGCGAACTACTAGTCCCATTGCTAGTAATATACCCTGTCAGGTCGACCACCACGTGCCCACCCCACCCCTCTGGAAACCATCCTGTTAAATTGCAGATCATCACAATGAACTAACTGACCTGCCTTTTCATTCTCACCTATCATCCCTATCACTCACTATCCTATCACTGATACCCCGCCAACGTTCACCGTTAACGCAGGCGGCGCTGCCATTCCAATATCATGCATTAAAAAAAAATACTAATGGGAAGTAAAAAAATAGTAACTGATAGTTCATTTTATTTTTAGGACAACCGCAAACGAACGGTACAAAACTTGTGTCGGAGCGCAAACGAGTAATGCTGACATGTTGCGCGGTACTAAGAGACACGACCGCGTGCCCCTTCCGCCACCACAAGAGCTGGTTCCAATGTTTTTTCTGCTCTCAAGACTTTATGGAACTAAATCTCCTCAGAACGCACACACTGGCAACACACGCGGACGTGGAGGCCGAATTGAAAAAAATAAAACGCTATCCGCGCTCCCTCCAAATTGAGATTTCGAATTTGGAATGCCGCCATTGTAATTTGAATTTGACAGATGTCGACTACATGCGCCGCCACCTGAGCGAGGCGCACGGCAAAGTGATATACAGGGAATGCATCGCAGATTACAAAGTCGACGCTAGTCCGTACACGTGTCATTTGTGTAAACGCGAATTCCACGTGTTCAGAACACTGACCACGCATCTAAACGAGCATTACGCGAATTGTATCTGCGACGTTTGCGGGAAATCCTTTCTGAATTCGAAAAGGCTCAAGGTTCACAAGCGTACGCATGAAAGCGGCCAGTATCCGTGCGGCGAGTGTGGGAAAATATTAAAAACTAAAACGTCAAAGGCCAATCATATGGAAAGTGCTCATTCTAAACGACAACTGAAATGTCAGATATGTTTTAAGCCAATGAAACATTATAATGATAGAATAAAACACATGTCCGAAGCGCATAACATTACGCATAAATTCCTTTGCCCGTTTTGCGGGCGGGAGTACAACATAAAACACTATTTGGCCACACACATCCGTCAGACGCACGGTCATAAGAATAAAAAATGCGTAGAATGCGGCATGGCGTTCATCACGAACCATGGTTTGAAGAAGCATATGTTAAAACATACTGGCGAGAAGCCGTTCATATGTAATCTATGTAACAAATCGTATGCTAGAAGCTATACATTGAAGGAACATATGAGGGCGCATGATAATGATACGTACACGTGTCCTGATCCCGAATAATTTGTTATTGTTTCAATAAATTTATTATTGTAAAATATGCATTTATTTCTAAATATTATTTTATATATAAGTTTATACTACGAGGTTTGTCCGGAAAGTACGTATAAAAGTTTTTTAAAAATTTTATTTTACAATTATTCAGGTAAATCAATTTTATCCCCTTCAAAGTACTCCCCCTGTGACATAATGCACTTGTGCCAACGCCGTTTCCACTGTGAGAAGGCTCCTTGAAAGTCCTCTGGTTGTAGGTTTCTCAGCTGCCCCGTCGTAGCTTTTTTTATCTCATTTATGTCCCCCAAATGCCGCCCCCGAAGTACCAATTTGGTTTTTGGGAACAAGAAGAAGTCACACGGGGCCAAATCCGGCGAATAGGGGGGTGTTCGGTCACCGTAATGGAATTTTTACTCAAAAACTCACGGACAACAAGAGAGGTGTGGGCAGGGGCATTGTCGTGGTGAAGAATCCAACGCCCCTCTCGCGCCAATTCTGGACGAACTCGTGCCACACGAGCTTTGAGGCGTCTGAGCACATCGACGTAGAATTTTCCATCAACTGTCTGGCCTGGAGGGACGAATTCTTGATGGACAATCCCCCGAACATCGAAAAAAACAATCAACATTGTCTTGACATTTGAGCGGGATTTTCCTTCACAGCATCATCCCCATAAACTGTTCTGAGATCGGCAAAAATTTCACGGCCATTCTTGCCGAGTTTCGAGAGAAACTTGATTACGACGCGCTGCTCTTCAACGGAAGCGGGCTCCATGCCGACGGGGTTTCGTTAAGAGGTAACTTCACAGATGGCGTGACAAGCCAGTTCGCACCGCACGGCGGTCAGACCAGAACTGAAGCATTGTTAGGGACATAAGGAAGGGGTCCTGCGCTTACCTGGCCTCCCCACTCCTCTTTCTCGCATTCCAGAACACTTTTATACGAACTTTCCGGACAGACCTCGTATATAAACAGCTTGGTACAATGACAGTTTTAAAGTTTGTCTGCTTAAAAATATTTTTATGTATGGCAGACACAGAGACGCCCACATACACACCCCTTGCGCACACGCAATATCTTATACGTGCGCTCAAACACACGCACATACACGTGCTCACACGTATACACACTTGTACGCACGTAACATACACATACATGAATGCATTTGTACGCGCGCACACACACGCACTTGTGCGCGAGCACACATGCACACGAAACGTCTCTGTCATTACTGAACTGAATGTCGTGTACCAATTACTGAGATAGACGTTATTTTAATGACAATTTCTGGTAAATTTGCTTCAAATAACCACTAGTAATTGTTTCAGATCAAAATAAACCATTGGAATCGAAGACGAGCAAGATTAAATCACAAAATTATATCGACAACCGCGAATTGCGTTCAAACATAACTTTAATATTGAAATATTCAAGCGTAATACCATTTAGGCATGTAAATAATAGTAAATATGCATGTCTGTATTGTGCCAATGAGTATTTGCTTTTTAATAAATTAAAAAAGCATGTTATATCAATACATAATGATTTAGAAGAAGATGAAATTACTGCGTGTTTAAAAACGCCCAAGGATTTGGTGAAAGCTGATATTAACGACTTAATATGTAAACTGTGCAAAGACAAATTTTTAACCATAGACAATTTCGTTGAACACCTCACGGGAATTCACAATAAAGTTTATTACAGTTTGTCTAGAGTCAACCCTTCGCATGGCATTTTGGCTTTCGACTTGAGCTCGGAAAATTTGAAATGCCTAATGTGTTCTAAAGAGTTTAGGTTCTTTAAAAACTTGTCTATGCACATGAACGAGCACAGCACTAATTTCATGTGTCACCGATGCGGTAAAAACTTCGTATCGGACCATAGACTACAAACGCATGTCATTATGCACAATAAAAAAAATATAAACTGTAAACACTGTAATAAAAGTTTTAAAACCGTATCGGCTAGGAATTATCATATTAAAAAGGTTCATAGCGAAGTTAAATATAAATGTTCCGAATGTTCACAAACATTTGAACAATATTACCAAAGATTGAGGCATCTAGTTGATAGTCACGACATGAAAAAACCTAAATTCAAATGTCATATCTGTGAGAAAGAGCTGGCAACATCGGGTGGTTTAGCGGCTCATATAAGGTACTCCCATTTAAAAACCACCCAATATACATGTGAATTATGTGGTAAATTATTCGTATATAAATGGATATGGCAACGCCATATGGCGGTACACAGTGGCGCGAAAAATTTCGAATGCAAAGTTTGCAATAAAAAATTCGCCAAATCATACACTCTACAGATGCATACGAGAATACATATGAATGACAAAAGGTTTTCCTGTGACGTATGTAAAACTGCATTTATACAGAAATGTAGTTTAAAAAATCATTTTAAAGTACATCACCCTGAGACTACAATAGAATGAATGAATGAATGAGTATACTTTATTTGCATTATACAATATAGGAAATAAGCAAGGCAATTTACAAACACAACGATACAATTGTATAAGTACAGTGAGGCGGTCTTATTGCTGAGAGCAATCTTTTCAAGACAACCTTAAGGTAATGGACTAATTGTTGTACAAGTAGGTATATTAGTGCTTTATAATTAAAAAAAACATCTTTTGCAAATTAAAAATATATAAAAAAATTATATACATATATACACACACATATATACATATATATAACATACATATACATATACACATACATATATACATACATACATAATAGAGTAGGATATATGTCAAGGCTGGCCAATAGATTTTCTTTCTCTCTTCCTTTTAATAAGTTTAAAACTGTTATTAAAAACACTTATTGAACAAAACCTATTACACTCTAAATGATAATTTTAATGACAGGTGTTAGTCGATCATGCACGGGGTTTTTAACGACCATGTAATTTTAGACATAGTACATTTAAATAAATACACATAATGTTAACAGAGATTTAAAAGAGTAACTGTTAAGTTTTTTGCGGGCTCTTCTCAACAGATAACAACTTTCCGAATCCTGCAGTAGATTTAAAAAATACGACGATTTAACGTGCTTGTAAACAAGTGTATTTAAATAAACATGATTTGTAATTTAAGAAACGTGCAAATACAATGCGTAGTCGGCCAGCATTGATAAGGCAAAGTTTAGAATTAATGTGGCTCCTACGGGCTGAACTAGCAATGAGCCTGTTGCATTTTTTTTCTTTTTTTTTTTAATAATACAAGAGGCACACGAGTATGCAGCTAAACAAACGTAACGAGAATCTTATTTCTTATAAGTGTATGTGTAATATGTATTATGTAACTTTGTATTATTCTTTAAGTGGTGCAATAAAGAGGTAAATAAATAAATAAACAGGGAAGAAAATTTCTAGAGTGGCTTTTCTGTATAAACTAACACATTTTAGAACAATTTTTCATCACTGTAGCGACGAGTTTTTTTTTTAAAAGCTCAGGACTATTTCTTTTTATAGCAGTTTAGAGGCCTGTGTTTATTTCAACGGCTGAAATGATGATGATTTGGGTAGTTTACAATTTTTTTTTATTTAAAATAAAAAAAATGAAATTTCCCGCCTTTTTTCATGTCGAAGAATAATATTCTAATTACGAATTAGGAAAATTTTATTATTGTACTGTTCTTTGGCAGTGATAATAAAAAATATATAAATATAATCTTAAATTTTTTTTTATCACAGTCACCGATTGTGGTATGAAAGCATGATACTATACGTTATTTTTTTTAATGGATGAAAACATAATGGCGACCCTCTTGCGCTCCTTGAAGAAACTCCAAATAGCTTTGCCCAGAATTACCGGGGAATTTAACACGGCAAAACTATTTGGAGTTTCTTCATAATGTATTCATACATTTTTTTTATACCCTAGAGGTTTGAACTTTGCTTAAAAAATATATTTTTTTTTGCATATTTTTCGAAAATAAATTAGTTTGCGTATTAAAAAAAAATTGCAATAGCTAGTCATACTATTCACTTTCTATCAGCACAGTTAGTGTATAATAATAAAACAACAAAAAACCAATAGAATTCATTCATCTCTGGTCATAGTGATCAGGACAGCAAAATAAGATAGAAAAAAATTGACTTTTCCTTAAAATAAAGATAACAAAGGTACTACTTATGATATATTTTGTTTCGTATTTTTTTTTAGGACGGCCATAAGTTGGACTATAAGGCATTTAGATAGATAGATATATCGTTTATTTGTTTGTTACTAATCACACACAACATGTACATAAGAATAGATAATACATAAAACAACATAAGATTTATAAAATTGTGTTATTACGTGTGATCTGCAGCAATACAAAAAGGTCGAAGCTCAGCGTGTAACATTGTTGAACATTGAACATTGAACACAACATTTCAAGGTTATCCATTCATTACCGGACACTCTGTATATATAAACAATATCGGTTCCATGTGGCCTTGAACAGCGAACAGAGTACTAAGTAGCTGGGAGACCTCTTTCCAGCAGTGGGACATTGCAGGCTGTAACTGACGATGAAACTTGAATAGCAAACGATCTGACGCTTTATTTGATGGTAGCGGCAACTATCGCCTACTGGCATACTATACTGTGACATCCGTGGCGTGTGTTAACAGTTTTGAGAACTAAGTTCTTATGCCTATATGTGCCTTACAATTTCATTGCTTTATCTGCAGTTGTATATTGCCTTTGGTAAATTTTATCTCACCATTTGTATATGCATTAAACATTTCCGAACGCAATATCCTTCTACCCTCCTTTCCTATCCATATTCTCTATCAAATGTGGGATCACATTGGGGGGTAGATGGACAAAATCAGTCTATAATCCAACTGCGCGTCGAGCTGGTCAAGTTCCGCTAAGATCACGAATAAATCTCCGCCAGTTGCGAATTCTTCAATCAGCCGCGATCTCCGCGCAACATACAGTGATACTTAAGCACTTTGAAGAGAGAACGAGAATGCGTACAAAAGACCTACACGCGGGGACTAAGTGAACCAGGTTTGTCCTTCACCCTTATTTTTATCCAGCAGCCTTCAAATCTAAATTATAAAAATAATTAATTCTCACCACAGATAATATAATATTATACTAGAATTGAATTTAATTAAACTACCTTAATGATTTTTTTTAAAGGGCAATAATGGAATGGTAACCCGGCCTGCGCTATCGGCATACGTTAGCGAGGCACCAGTGAGGGATAATAGGTGAGGATGAAAAGGCAGGGCAGTTGGCCCATCGTGATAAATACGCTTGGAATTCAGCACGATGGTTTCCAGGGGGGGCCATGGGGAGGTCGACCTGTTAGGGTATATTGTTAGCAATAGGAGTGGTAATTCGCATTACTAACAATCTCTTCCCCCCTATTGTTATATATTACCCACCCGTACAGGAAACTTTCACGATGAGTCAATTGACTTGCCATCATTTTCACCTATCATCTACGATTTCGGAGCGGGAGGAAGGGTTTGTTAGTAATGAAGATTACCATTCCTAGCAATGTACCCTCTCAGGTTGACCTCCACGTCCTCTGGAAACCATCGTGGCTAATTCTAGTTGAATTCGTCAGGACGGGCTAACTGACCTGCTTTCATCCTCATCAGTCATCTATAACTGGTGCCCGCCAGTGTATACCAATAGCGCAGACGGGGTTACCATACCATTATCACTCATTTAAAAAAAATACGAATAATATAACCATATTGCTAGTAATGGGGTTATTTGACCCCATTACTAACAATCCCTTTCCCCTCTTCCTGGTGTATTCATCATGATAGGCTAACTGAGCTGCATTTTAATCTCACCTATCATCTATGCACTGGTGTACCGCCAGCGTATATAGATAGGACAGGCAGGATTACCATTCCATTTTCACCCATTAAAAAAAATAGGATTATAATAATAAGCCCCATTGGGGGGAAAGGGATTGTTAGTAATAGAGACTGAGAATCCCATTACTATCAATATACCCAACCAGGTCGACCTCCACGCGGTTTCCCCTAAAAACTATCATGGTTAATTCCTGATGAATTCATCATGATGTGCTAACTGGTCTGTTTTCATCCTTATCTATCACCCTTCACGGGTCTCCGCCAATATATCCCATTAGCACAGGCGGAGTTACCCTTACCATACAATTTTCACCCTTAAAAAAAAATAGCCCGATACTTGACAATGTGCGATGGTCATTATGTATCTTTGACGTAAGTGACATAACTTCAATGCTTCATTCATTCACGTCATTCATCATTAGTGAATCTTGTTTGTGGCATTCGCTCAATATAGTATACAAAAGTTAATATTAATTTTAATTGTTTTTAATTAAACTATTTATGGTATACAGTTATTAATTAGTATTATTTAAGTAGTTGTTGTGATGTTATTACATAATAAACATGTCTAACGAGACCTGGAAACTTGAGAAGGATCTCTGTCGTTGTTGTCATTCAGAAGGTTCCTTCAAGAATCTATCGGAGACTTCTGACGAGGGCCAGGAAGTATACTCCGATATGTTGCAGTTCGCTCTAGATATTAATGTGAGTTTTATTATACTTTTAATTTATTCTCACTAGTCAATAGTTTTTTTAATCTAGGACTTGTACGCTTGGTGCAAGCCACAAACAGCCGAGCGTCAAGAGATGCTGTCGAATATTTTTTTTTAACATAAAGACCATAATAGATGAGTTTAAAAAGAATATAATTATGTATAACTGGTATTAAAACATAGTAAGTAAAGCGAAGTACTTTGTATGTTTTGAGTTCTTCACATAATCTTTTGAATGTCTCATAGAAAATTCATACCTTTATATAATGGTAGTGTCATTTTAATACATGATCAATCTGGCAGTCACATTGCCAAACACCGATATTTATTTATTTATTCATTAGTACATGTGTGTGTACATGGTGGACTTAATGCTGAAAGCATTCTCTCTCAGTCAACCATAGGGAAGTGTCAGAATACTTGAATGCGGTACTACTAATTATTGATATACATGCATACTAAAATTACATATATAAAGGAATAAATATATATAAATAACAAATATACTTACATATATATAAAATATATATATATATATATATATATATATATATATATATATATATATATATATTTTTTAATGGATGATAATGGAATTGTAACCCCGCCTGTGCTAACGGTATACGCTGGTGGGGCACCAGTGTAAGATGATAGGTGAGGATGAAAAGGCAGGTCAGATAGCCCATCGTGATGAATACACTTGGAATTCAGCATGATCGTTTCCAGGGGAGACCACGGGGAGGTCGACCTGTTAGGGTATATTATTAGCAATGGAAGTATTTATGAAAATGAGTATAGTAGAGAATACTTATTACTTGATTAAAGTATAAAAGTGAACATAATTTTTTTAATAATGGTTTAGACGGAAGTCTCTTGATAATATTTGTGGGCAAAGTGTTCCTGACAAACTGATATGACAATCCTTACATACAAACATACTCTATGACGCTGGCACAATCACCCAAGTGTTCCGTTATGGAACAGGCTAAGGTCGGAGACCATGCTGCTTAGTCTTCAGTGTGATAATTTGTCTCGAATCAAGGAAATAAAGTAAAAAAGAAATTTTCTCGAAAAAAAATCAAACCAGTGCATAGACAGTTGCCTATACTGCCTAATTACACACAGCCACAGATTAAAATACCTTCTTAGCATAAAAAGAAAACAAGCATATATCCTTTATCTAATGAGTATTGAACTTCCAGGTGTTACCAGTAGCTGGTATGCTGTGCTGTGTCACGTACACGATATGTGAGCAGTGTTCAGACAGGCTGCGAGATGCGGTCAGCTTCAAACGGCAAGTGCTGCAGTGCGAGGAGCGATTTCGGGATATGTATGACAAGGATGGCATTAAAGGTACATATAATGTAATGTAAATTGGACTCTCTTTTTCGCGCTTAGCCTCTTATTTAGGCTGTTGTGCGTGTGAGTCGTGGCTAGTACAGCCAACCCTGCTCCGCCCAGAAGCATAGAAGCTTCCTGGGATCTTCACAAGTCTCACGGGTGAGGTCGCTCACCGTTCCGAGGGTTTCGAAACGTTGATGGGCCACAGCTTCACATTCCAGGATTACGTGAGTAGTCGTTTCTTCGGCATTGAAACAGCCTCGACATAGAGTTCTTGCGATAAAGCTGGCCTGCTTTCATTCTCACCTATCATCTCTTCCCACTGGTGACCGTGGTGGTAATGGCATGGTAACCCCTCCTGCGCTATCGGTATACGCTGGCAGGGCACCAGTGAGGAATGATACCTATCATCCCTCACTGGTGCATGCAGCAGCTGGAGCTAGAATTAATTACGATGGTTTCCAGAGGGAACCGCGTGGAGGTCGACCTGATAGGGTATATTGCTAGCAATGGGTTTATTAGATTACCAACAATCCCTTTTCCTTCCTTAGGCGGGATTACCCCGTTCTATATTCATTCTGTTAATAATTTAAATCCACAAAAAAAAATTAATGGCTCCAAAATTATTTTAATTAAAAAAAAAGTAATTACATTTTAAAAACCAAATTGCTGAACTGGTTTTGATAGTTTTTCTATAGGATCAATCTGATAGTACGTTTTTTTCAGATAAAAAACTTATTTTACAAATCGAAGTTATGACGTATCTTATATTTGCATATGGGGACAGCTAAGCCGTTGCGCGTCGACCCATCGGGATCTTTTGTGCTACCCCCTGCCTTATACCATCATTTCATAGATCCTATGTGTTACCCTAACGATATCCCGCGGTTTAAGATATCTGTAGTCCCCTGGCTCGGGATAAGCCGTTTCCAGTTGCCTCATGCGCATGCCCGCTAACGAATCGCAGTTGCACACTAAGTGTTCCATGGATTCCGATTTCTCCCCGCACAGTCTGCACAGTGTGTCCGAAGACAGACCCAAAGTTATGAGGTAACATACGTAAAAGAAAATGTACTGCTAAATTGAGAGCTTTCTTTTTTTTAAAGCGAGTAAAAAAAAGTAAACTAAAAATTTTACTTCTAACTGTATATAACTCTTTCAGTGCTCACAACTGGTGATTTAAAAGTGAAAGAAGAAGTGCCCGAAGAGTATCCTGAAGTTGACGGTAATTTTTTTTTACACTACAAAGACAGTAAAGGTAAACAAGCATACAGCCATAGACATATTTGATATTGTTTACCAAGTGTGTTTTTTTTTATACAACTTAGAATGGCAAACAAGCTGACGGCCCACTTGATGGAAAGTGGTAACCGTCGCCTATAGACATGAGCAGTACCATGGACATAACAGAGTATACTGTTTCGCCCATGTTACTCCCCATGCGTTGCCATTCCTGAGGACTCAGGTGTTATTCCTCTGTACCCTGTAAATTCACGCCATATTCCACCCTTCAAACCGAAACACAGCCATGCAAACACAACTGCTTCACGGTAGAAACACGAATAGGACAGAGGTACCCAAGCAAGATCGGCGCCTTACTGTCCGACTCGACCCACTGAAATTGCGTAGAGATGTTGCATCTCTGTGCATCTTCTACCGAATTTATCATGGGGAGTGCTCTGAAGAATTGTTCGGATTGATACCTGCTGCTGATTTTCACCATCGTACAACCCGCCATAAACTTTCATCCCAACCATCTGGACGAGTGGCGGTCCTCCACCGTGCGTTTTTCAAGGCACTTTCTCCCACGCACAACCACTCTTTGGAATCAACTTCCAGCAGCAGTATTTCCGAACCGATACGACAACATAACCTTCAAGAAAAGAGCATATTCCCTTTTAAAAGGCCGGCAGCACACCTGCAATGCCATTGGTGTTTTGGATGACCATAGGCGGCGGTAGTCACTTACCATCAGGTGAGCCGCATGCTCGTTTGCCCCCAGTGTTGTAAAAAAAATAGTCTTTCCCATAAGGGGGGTTTCGCCAGTAGTTACTACGCTTGGCAGGTGGGTTGGCAACCGCGGTTTGGCTTTTGGTGATGTTTTAAGAGGGACGCTGCTGCCCATCCCTCGCCCTCCCTTAGTCGCCTTTTACGGCACCCACGGGAAAGGAAGGGATGGCCTATTCCGGCTGCGAGTAATAGTATAATTGTTGCAGGCAAACCAGACCTGCCGACCATGGATGGTGACGATAGCGATGATTTCCCATTAAATGGTATGTATACCCTTATTTATTCACTCTACTCACCCCCCTTATTCGTAGAAACTAAAATATACATATCTGTTTTATCGTAACACCGCCTGCGCTAACAGTATACGCTGGCGGGGCGCCAGTGAGGGATGATATGTGAGAATTAAATGGCAGGTCAGTTAGCCCATCGTGATGAGTACACCTGGAATTCAGCACGATGGTTTCCAGGGAGGACAGAGTGGAGGTAGACCGTCCGTTTCCCCCCGAATTCTGTTCTATTAGTATGCAGTTGGCGGAGGTCCTTAATCAGTGTCCCAGCAGTGGGATTGTAATCATTTCAGTTATTATCCGTTCACTTCTAGACATAGGCCTTCCCCATAGACTGCCATAAAGAACGGTCCTGAGCCACCTGCATCCACTGACTCCCTGCAACGCATTTCAGGTCGTCACTCCATCTAGTTGGGGGGGGGGGGGGTCGTCCTACAGCGTTTGCCCGTACGCGGTCGCCGCTCAAGAACCTCTCTTCCCCATCGGTTGTCGGTTATTTTGTTTCTTTTGCGGATATCCTCGTTTCGGATTTTATCACGCAAAGAGACTCGGAGCATAGGGGTAGTGGGATACCAAAGATCAATTGAATGATCCAAAATTCAGTTCAGTTCAAAAAACAAATTCAAAACAGTTGAGAAACTGACGCTTCACGTTCTTTTTTTTATTTTTTTTATGATGCTGTCATTGTGAAGTGCGATAATTTATTCAGAGTTTATTCTTTTCGGTTTTGGTTGTAATTTTTTGTGTATTTGTTGTAATGTTTTATGTATTTATTGTACTGTTTTATGTATGTGTTGTAATGTATTATGTATTTGTTGGTAAGCGTGTTGAGTCTCCCATCCGAGAAATAGGTATTGGCGACCCGCACGCATGCTAAAGGCAAAGGAGTTAAGGGGCCGCCTGTAAATCAGCGCTATATATGTAGGTACATCTCGCTGGAGCTGGACATATATAGCAACAGCTGAGGCGGCTCCAGCAACCAGCAACATTAATTGTTTTTTTTTTTCTTTTTGTTGTTTTAATACTTATTTTCTTAGTAATGGTAATAAATGTCATCTATCTATCTATCTATCTATCAAATTGATTTATTGTCAATAGATCTCAACAGCGAAGAAATCAAACAGGAGGACCCGAAGAAAAGTAAACCCAAGAAGGCGAAACAGAAGAAGAAACTCGGCCGGCCGAAGAAGACTGACGCGGGGAACGGAGAGAAGAAAGGTAGGTGGACAACAGTTATTGGCTGCGATAGAATTACGTATGGAGTTGCTAACGAGAGTCTCTTTGGAATAACTCTACAATTTGGGAAACGGTGATTGTGAAATTAGCTTATTATAAGCTAAAACTGTCGGCATTTAAAACTTGCTATTCGTCTCTAGCTTAGGGTCTGGAGGGGGGGAGGGGGGATTTGAAACTTTGGACTGACTCTCCCAATAATGGTAAACACTAATAACTATAAATTCATAACCGTCGGATTTAATACTGATCGATTCGATCCGGCTTCATTGGTAGTACTACCTTATAAAACTGCAACTTTGTACAGCATAAATGCCTACTGTATGACAATAAGCATTTATAATAAATTAACGGACGAAATAAAAACACTACCCTTGAATATATTTAAAAAGAAACTAAAAAGGTGGCTGATAGAAAAATGTTTTCACTCGGTTAATGAATATTTTGAATATTTTAAAGCTTAAATATATGACTCGATTAATGTAATTTGTAATTTGTAAAATGATTGTAATTTGTAAAATGTTTGTAATTTGTAAAACGATTGTAATTTGTAAAACGATTGTAATTTGTAAAACGATTGTAATTTGTAAAATTATTGTAATTTGTAACCTGTATAATTTATTATTAATACGTAAATATATTGACATTTATATAATATGACGATTTAAGTAAAATAGTATTTTTTTTTTGATGGGTGAAAATGGTATGGTAACCCCGCCTGCGCTAACGGGATACGCTGGCGGAGCACCAGTGAAGGGTGATAGATGAGAATGAAAACAGGCCAGTTGGCCCGTCATGATGAATTCATCAGGAATTAACCATGATAGTTTCTAGGGTGAACCGCGAGGATGTCGACCTGATTGGGTATATTGCTAGCAATGGGATTCTTAGTCTCCATTACTAACAATCCCTTTAAATGAAGATTATTTATTTTCTATTCTGCTATGTAGTGAACATGGTACAGTGTGGTCGTTAGTAGCTCCATACTTTATCTATCGCGTAGTACCGACTTTCCGTCCGTTCGTCATTCATTATCATATTCGCCTCTAACTGTCCACTGCTGGACATAAGTCTCCCCTTAGGGGCTTTTCCTAGTGGTTGCCACGCTTGGCAGGCGGTTTGGCAACCGCAGTCAGGGTTTGGAGGTGTTTTCAGAGGGACGCTGCTGACCATCCCTCATCCTCCCTTAGTCGGCTCTTACGACAGCCACGGGAAAGGAACGGCTGGTCTATTCTATGCCGAAACCAAACGTCATTGTATATATTTAATTTAAGAATACATTTTGAAATTTTCGGCAAAAAACAGCGGCTTAAAAAAATCATTCTTATTTTAAATTTACCTTTCTTCCCGCCATTTTGTACGTGTGGATTTCAAATGTTTGAAATCAAATTAAATAGACCATTCTAAGATGGCGCTTTGACATAAAACATTTTTTATTTTAAATCTAGATTTTTCCCGCCGTTTTGTACGTGTCAATTCCAGATATTAGAAAACAACTTAAACAGATCGTTCATAGATGGCGCTTCGACATAAAACATACACCATATTTTAAGTTAGAGCCTCATGAACGCAAGTGTGAATACCGCATCCAATTTGGTGAAATAGCTTTTAGGTGATACACGTAACAAACATACAGACAGACGCACAAAATTTCTAGCATGGCCCAGTTACAATTTTATTATATTAGTAAACAGTTGAAGAAGGCTTTTGTCCAGTGTCCCAACAGTGGGACACCATAGGCTATGATTAATTGATTGACCACCATACATAAATAGTATCTATGTAATTAGATACAGTTCGTCTGATGGTAAACGGTCACTGTAGCCTATTGACGCTTGCAACACCAGGGTTGTCACGCGCGTTGCTGACCCTTAAGAACGCCTTTTTGAAGAACCCCACACTGTAGTGTCTAGGGTAAACCTCGGCAGGGAGCTCATTCCAAAGCTTAGAGTTTGCAGTAGGAAGGACCTTTGAAACCGCACAGTGCGTGACCATTTTGATTCTAGGGTACAACGATGAATTCCTTGTCTATGGCGACCGGTGCGATGGTAAAATTTTTAATCTATTGCTTTATGTTTGATTTACTAGGGACATAATAGTAAAAGTGATGCTAGTTTTTATCCCCTTTTTTTCTTGGCATACTACAGTGCTGGTTAGTTTGGGGGGAAAGGGATTGTTAGTAATGGAGACTGAGAATCCCATTGCTAGCAATATACCCAACCAGGTCGACCTCCTCGCGGTTCCTCTGGAAACTATCATGGTTAATTCCTGATGAATTCATCATGATGGGCTAACTGGCCTGTTTTCATTCTCACCTGTCACCCTTCACTGGTACTCCGCCAGCGTATACCGATGGTGCAGAAGGGGTCACCGTTCCATCTTCACTCATTAAAAAAAATGATGGTTAGTTAATTAGAATTGTTTTGCAAGCAATTTATAAAAAATCCATTGTTCTATATTTAAAATACTAGAGAGACGTATGGCAAGTCGGTACTATTTGTTTAAAATGTATTTTTCTATGTTATTCCATATTTAAATTACTAGAACGTATGGTTAGTCAGTACTATTTTTTTTAAATGTTATTTTCTCTGCTAATTCTATATTTAAATTACTGGAAGGACGTATGGCGAGTCGGTATTGTTTATTTTAAAAAAAAATGCATTGTTCTATTATGGAACAATACAATTTACACCATTTACACGTTATAATAAATACGTCATAAGCGTTTTCAGACCTGAACGATACGGGCGTGAGTTGTAACTTAAAAAAATTCTAAAACCGCGCGCAATTCATTTTTACGCACGAAGCTGAAATAACATGATAGTGAGATTCTAAACCAGCCAATAAGAAATCATTTTAGCGGTTAGGTGGTGCAGTAGTTTCGTGCGTGCCGGCAAGATGGCTTCGCTCCAAAACACGAAAATATATTTAATCTGAAATAATTTATTCCATATTTAAATTGCCACGGGAAGTACACTATTAGAGAACTTAATAAGTTGTGTATTGATTAGGGTTGCCTGGTTGGGTGTCTATTTCTTACATCTTTCAATTTAGTATAAAAGAAAAATTGTGTTCATTAAAATTATGGTGAATTGAAATTTATGAAGAAAAACGTAAATAAATTGGGTTTTTTTTTTTGTATTTTTAAATAATATATCAGTGAAGCCAGTGCATGATGTAAGCAAGTCAACGTAAAGTATGGCATTTGTCGTCATTCGATGGTTAGTGAAAACATATGTTAATGTAATAACGACCAGTTTAATTGACGTGCATTTTAGTCGAGAAACCTCGACTAGTTTCGGGACCATCCGAAACCCTTAGTCATGAGCGGCTGTGACGTGCGCTTCGGCCCGCTGAGCGCTCACTATTCTAATTTCTCGACTGAAATACTCAGAAATCGTAATAAATTGTGTTCTACAATAGAAACCGACTTAAATTTTGGCAAAACCAGTCATTTTTGTTTAAAAATTAGATTACTGAACCGATTTTGATAAAATTTCCATAAGAAACTTGTTTAAAATTGACAGTGTAATGATATAACAAACATTCTTTTTTTACACTACTTAGAATGGCAAACAAGCTGACGGCCTACCTGATGGAAAGTGGTAACCATCGCCTATAGACACGAGCAGTACCATGCACATAATAGAGTATACTGTTTCGCCCATGATACCCCCCATGCGTTGCCATTCCTGAGGACTCAGGTGTTATTCCTCTGTACCCTGTAAATTCACGCCATATCCCACCTTTCAAACCGAAATAGCCATGCAAGCACAACTGCTTCACGGTAGAAACACGAATGGGACAGAGGTACCCAAGCAATCGACTTTTGGACAAAGTCTCCCTCTGGTAAACATAAAATAAAGAAAAAATATTGCAACCGATTTGATAACCTCCTTTTTGAAGTCGTTTGAAAAAGTTAGGAAGTCGTGGCATTTAGCGGCGTGGAATTTAGACAAATATATATTTTGAAATTCCATGGAAATTAAGAATCGCATCTGGCAACACTGGTACCGATTTTTTTTTATAACTAAACAAGCTTACAGTCCATTCGATCGTAAACAGCCATTAATGCCTATGGACGCCTGCAACACTAGGTGTCACGTGCACGTTGCTTACCTTGACGTCGGTCGCCGCTATTGGTATACGCTGGCGCCATGGCGGGGTACCAGTGAGGGATGATAGGTGAGGATGAAGGCAGATCAATCGGTCCAATGTGATGAATTCCAAAAGAAATTAACACGATAATTTCCTATCCTATGTCAACCTAATACCTAATAATAATATACCCTATATTGCTAGCAATGGGGCTGTTTTTTTTAATTAAATGGATGATAATGGAATGGTAACCCCACCAGCGCTATCGGTATACACCGGCGGGGCACCAGTGAAGGATGATAGGTGAGAATGAAGTAGGTTAGTTAGCCCATCGTGACGAATTCAATAAGAATTGTTCACGATGGTTTCCAGGGGGAACCATGTGGAGGTCGACCTAATAAGGTATATTGCTAGCAATGGGCCTGTCAAACTCCATTGTTAACAATCCTTTTCCCCCTTGCAATGGGGCTGTTTGATCCTATTACTAAAGTCTATGTATATATAATAAGTACATAAAATACAAAAAAAAACCTATAACGCATAAAAACATCAAATATTTTTTTATATAAATAAAATATGTCAATAGACACGTTTTCGTTACCGCACGTATGAGGCAGAATAAGACGTAGGTTCTTCCTATCTCATTCTATCTTATTTGTGTACCGCAAAAGTAGACAGATATGTATATCACTTGTCTAGGTTAGGTTGACAACCTGATTCGTTTGATAGATACGTTTTCGCAAGAAAAAGTTGGCCGAATTGTATGGAGGTGGCAGATAAGTCTACTTAATGGAAAACAGTAACTATGGTCAATAAACATGAACAGCACCATGGTCATCACAGTATATACTGCGTTACTCATGTATTGCCATTCTTGAGAACTAACATAATTCCATAGACACATTCGTATGGAGATGATTTCTATTTTTTAATTAATTTAATTTATTAAAAAGTAGGAATCATCTCCATACCATTTATCACTTAAAATTTAAGTTTTATTATAACAGTGATTTCGTTCGTGAAGAATCACAGGCTGTGATTTTTGTTCGCAGTAACTAGATATCACACATGCTACTATATGATATTAAAAATTATAAATTTTATGATCACTGTGATAAAATCTTTATTCAGTTCCTATCGCCCAGGCGATCGTCTGTTACATATTATTATCAACCGAACTCAGCCGATAACTTACGAATAAATCCGAACGCATCGACTAGCTGCGATTTTACAATTAGTGTTACTTGTAGAAGTTGTGACTCATGATTTTGCATATTGTATGATATTTAAAATGCTACCTATAAAATTATTCAAGTTATACGAGATAAAATAATGCCAGAATAAAAAGTATCAAGGAATCGCAAATAAAATAATATTAACTAACCAAAAGAAGAATTTACCAGACGGAGGACAGAAGAGTTAGAACGAAATGGCAATAATTGTTTTCTGCTTCTAGGCGGCAAGACGCCTACGAAGTCCATCTTTCGGCTGCAAGAGGCCGACTACACCAGAGACGGAGAGCAGTACGTGTGCGGACGATGCGATAAGAGATACGACAAGATCTTCTCCCTAAGGTTTCACGTGAAGACCAAACATTACAAGATACCGAGGTTCTCTTGTCCGTATTGCATGGAGACCTTCTTCACTCCGGCTCCTCTGACCGTCCACAAGCTCCAGGAACACAACATAGATGATAGGTTTAACTGTAACGCCTGCAAAGGGACATTCAATACTAAAATACAGTTAAGGAAGCACATAAACAATTTCCATATGCTGGGCGAAAAATACAAGTGTGAATTTTGTGAGTACGAATCATTCAGTTTCGAAGGTCTGTACAAACATAAGTTTAAACACAAAACTGTGAAAGATTACCACTGTAGGTTCTGCAGGAAATCGTTTTTGAGGAAGACGACCCTGGACCTTCATGAGAGGATACACACAGGTGACAGGCGGAAGATATGTAAGGTGTGCGGCCAAGCGTTCGTTCAGAAGGCAAGTCTCAATTATCATATGACTAAATATCATCCAGAGGTGAATTTCTAGTGATGCGAAACGGTGATGTGTATGTCAAATGATCATAGTGACTGTTATAATGACGTTAGTGTTTTTTAACAACTTTTAGCCGCGACTTTGTCTGTGTGACGAGGATATGTTCGCTGACCGGGTGAAAAAATAGCCTGTGTCCTTCTCCATCCGATATAGTACCTGTTAACCAGATTTTATAGAGATTGGTTAAGGCGATAAGAGGTAACAGACAAACAAACTCGATTTCACATTTGTAATTTTAGTATGGATTTTGGTGGTAGATACCACTTCAATATGGCGTATTAAAATAAACATATGTCAGATTTTAAGTTAGGCCTGCGGGAATACAACTGTGAAATTCGTTTTTAATTTGGTGCAAATAAATAAATAATGTCTCATATAAATGTATTTTGTTTCACTGTATAATTTTAAATGTCCATATATTGTACGCTTATATAGCAGGACATGGAGATACTATTTAACTCATGTAATACCTTAATTTAACCTATGATCCACAGTAAAGTCTTTGTATTTGTATTTATTTGTATTTGCAATATATTTGCGTGATGTCGTAATAAACACACAGACAGCCAAAATTTTTATAAATTGTTGTCGCATTTATCACTCTTATTAAGACCCCTTATATTGTTTTATCTAAAAAAAAATCCCTATGTACATGGTTTGGTTACAATTTTATTACATCAATAATATATATGTAAAATATTTGACAACACGTTATTTGGGACTGTGACGTCACATATCGTCATTTATTACAAACTGTTATTTTTTTAAATGCTATTTCTTTATACGTGTTAAACATTTTTTAACGGGTGACGTAAATAATAATAATAATAAACTCTTTATTGCGCACAGTAGAGATGTATACAAGGAGTATTTATACAGAATGTGCATATACAAAAGGCGGCCTTATCGCTAAAAGCAATCTCTTACAGACAACCTGGCATTTTGTAAATTGTATCACATTATATGTATTGATTGGAATTTTACTCGTATTGTTAAATAATAACTATCGGGAGTTATACTACGGTATTACTCACGTTTTAAATTCGGGGATGCCCAACTAGTATTATTATTCTTTTAATGTTATTTCTTTATTTTTATGACATATAATGACTCTGTGATTTCGCGAGAATATCACGTAATACAGTGACTGTATCGTTAGTGCTGAATTTTAGATGTTATTTCTTATTTTTCAACCGATTTCAAAAAAAGAAGTCCTCAATTCTGTTGTATTTTTTTATATTTATTACCTCATATTTTGCCTACTTCTCATACATTATCTACCATATCATAGTTTATCATTTAGCCATTTGAAACATCTTTTTCTTATCTGAAAAGATATCCTTCCAGACTGGTCTCATACAAATTTTATTGAAAACCGTTCAGGAGTTTAGTTTTAAATCCAAGTAACTGGTTACTTCACGATTGAAATTGGTGCTTTTTTTGTGAAACTAATCCTACGTTATGTATTTTTTCTTTTTTTTTTTATTGAAAGAAAATGGACTGGTAAACCCGCTTGCGCTAATGGGATACGTTGGCGGGGCACCAGTAAAGGGTGATCGATGAGGATGAAAACAGGCCAGTTAGCCCATCATAATGAACTCATCAGGAATTAATCATGATAGTTTCCAGGGGGAACGGCGAGGAGGTTGACCTGGTTGGATATATTGCTAGCAATGGGATTCTTAATCTCCATTACTAACAATCCCTTCCCCCCCTAAGTTATGTATTATAGTTTTAAAATAGATATCATGTGGAATTGAAACTGGAACGTGAACTGTGTAATTTTATTTGTATTTTTTAATTTTTTTTTTTTTAAAAACTATTGCCTAATCTAGAACTGTGATTTGGCGAATATATCACATAAATGCAGTGATTATATCATGTTATTTTTTTTAGATGCTATTTTCTTTAAATGTGATTTTTAACACGTATCATGTTATTTGGAACTGTGACTTATGAGAGTGTAATATAACACAAATATTCAGCGACTGTAATAGTATTTTTTGTATGCAATTTGATTATTTTTATATAAAATAATTATTATGATATTTTTGGATGCTATTTCTTTATTTTATATAATATTATAGATTTAAAATAGATATCTTTATATGATTTGAAACTTTAACGTCACATAATATAATAAGCAGTGACTTTAATTTTATTTTTTTATATAAAGTTATTTTTTATGATAATTCTCTATTTTTATTATGAATATTTAAAAATTAATTATAATTATTTTTATATAATTTAAGAATTTTGTGCTAAGTGGTTTTTTTTGTGCAATATTAACAAATCAAAAGAATAAATAGGCACGATATAGTTTGAACTTTTTTTAATTCTTTAATCGTCACTTATGATTCTACCGCTGGGCTCGGAATAAATATTAATGAAATAATTTGTATGTATTTGAGAATATTGTAAAAAAATGTTTTAATACTATTATTTTTATTATATACAACCCGGTTTCAGAGAACATCTCTGAACCTTCTCCTCCCACGAACTCTAAGGTTATAGTATGAGCTCTCTATCGAGAGTTTTCCAAGAGACTACAGCATGGGGTTTTTAGAAAAGAGATAAAGAGGTTTCTTCAGGGTCGGCAACGCGCACGTAATGCCCCTGATATTCATGGGCTACAGTAACTGCTTACCATCAAATGGGCCGTATGCTTGTTTTCCATCTGTGATATAAAAAAACTGTACGTATACAGGAACAACCAAACATAAAAGGTTTTGATAACTACTCGGGAATTATCTAGTGAAACCGTAACAACTGTTCCACTTCCACAACCGACCGCATCGATCTAGCTAAACACTGAACAATCTCTTCTCTTATATATAGCATATGGAGTTAATTTGTGTTAGAACGAGATAGCAAGTGTTCTCTGTCTATTGTGTTAAACATACTTCTCTGTTGTCTGTCATATAAGGTTAACCTATGTTAGAAAGAGTAGCTAGCTATTATCTGCTCTAGAACAGGTTAGGTTATTTTGGAATAGCTGTTATTTTTTATAACAGGCCTGTGAAATTGTTATTATACTTGAACAAGATTACGTGTAACAGGTTCCTTGTTTTACTAGTTTCAGATCGCTTCTAAAGTATTGCACGGAATCATAGTAACTTTATAATATTCTTTTTTTTTAATCTGACGGTTTTACAGATTATATATTTTTTATAATACAAATGGCAAACAAGCAGATGGTTCATCTGATGAGATATGGTAATCGTCGCCTATAGATATAAACAGTACCGTGGATTTAACAATACACTGTAACGCAATGAAGAATTTTGAGGACCATTGTGTTATGCCTCTATACCCTGTAATTACACTGCCATATTGCACTCTTTAAACCGAAACAGCCGTGCAAGCATAACTGCTTCATGGCAAAAACTCGAATAGGGCAGAGGTGGCCATGCAGTTGATTTTTGCACATTCTCTCTCTGGTATCAAAAGGAACTGCTCTGCAAATTGGTATTGAGGATATAAACAAAATAGTCGATTTGAAGTCACTTGAACTAAACCTGCTAATTTTTTTAGTTTGTAATATGCCTCAGGCACAAAAGTCACATTGCTGGCCAGCAGTTTCTCCCCATAAAAGAAGGAGATAGACTACTACTATACAAAATAAATTGTATATAGTCTAAAAATACCATTCTTTACTTATTATAGCCATCAGTGACGGGATCTTAATCCCGTCAATGACTTCTGCGGGTATAAGACATTTTGATAAAACTTGATAGCCCCAAATGAGAGTCCTTACCTGGCAACCCTAAGTTTCAGCTGTCTGAGAGCAGGCAACACTATTACACTATATTATATTGTCGCCATATTTCATTTAAACCAAGTTTCATAAGTTTTATACATGCAGAAGTCAGCGGCGGGATCTAATGCTATTAGAAATTAGATTTTAAGTAATTCAAAACCGATTCATTGTAATACATTACAGCAGATTAACAAATATGGTTACGCGAATTATTATAAAATAAATTATATACTAAAACATAGTGTTTTACTTTCACATTTTCCTGTTTTTCTATCTGGCCAGTGTACTTACTATTGTAACGACCTATTTTGCTACTTCTTTTAAACCGCGCCAACATATTTTATGTTAGTTAATATTAAGTCTTTTTTTAGTTTGCATCAATAAGAAAAAATGTGACGACTATTGTTTAGTTCTACTTTACTGATTCTTTCTGATCCTACAAAATATATAATATTAAATTATAACAGTCCAGGTTGATCCCATCCCTAGCTACCGCGGTCCCCGCGCCACCGATACCGCCCCGCCCACATAGTCAGTCGTCCGGCCTGCGGCTTACCATTCGCACGTAATGCGTGCCTCTACTCTCACTACTGTCGAGTACGGACTCCACTATGGTTTCCTCAGTAACCGTGTTTGTATGTATCGCGATGCCCTCTTCCGTGTACATATAGTATAAATAAGTGGGGGGAAGGGATTGTTTGTAATGGGAAGGGAAGGGAATATATCATATCAGGTCGACTTCCAAGCGGTTCCCTTTGGAAACCATCGTGACTTATTTATCGATGTATTCATCACGATGGGCTAACTGACCTGACTTTTCATTCTCACCTATCATCCTTCACTGGTGCCCCGCCAGCGTATACCGATAGCGCAGGCGGGGTTACCATTCCATTATCATTCATTAAAAAAGTTACTTTTCCCAAACACGCCACGATCCACACCCAGCTCGACTCGAAGACTTGTGAAAAATCCAAACTGGTTAGTTCCCCGTTCGGGGTCGGCTACAAAATTATCATTTGCTTCCTTCTGTCCTTCATTTGTGGGATTCATTAGAAACTTTCTGCAAAGTTTCTGATGAAAGTCCGAGTTCAATAAATATCCTAAGTCACTACACACTGCTTTTCGGGTAGTGGGAGCCAAGATATGGTATGTCGGGTGATGGTCTCACACGCCCTCTGAAGCCACAATCAATTTGAAATGATCCAAACAAGAATTGAAAAATGAATTTTAAGTTTAGGCCGGGATTTAATTCAACCCCAGGGCTAGAATTAAGCGTTATTCAATTGAACTGTTGTTGTACAGTATCACGTGTCGCTGCCACGACCTTCGTCTGCTTTGTCTTTACTACTATTCACGCAACTTATGCTGGCGGCCTAGTATTACAGGGAGGAACTGTGAACATTTCCCGCTTTGCGTCTACATTTTGCTGTACTTTTTTGTGTGTTTGTGGATCAAATATAAATAGAGAATGAACATTATTTAATTTTGCAAAATTTACTTAAATTTTGTTATTTATTAAGAACGAAGTATGAACTATTCTCCGCTTTTGCTAAGACTACCTGAAGTTTAATTGTTTAATAAAGACCAAGTATGAACTATTCTTCACTTTTGCTAAGACTATCTGAAATTTAATTCTTAATTAAAGACCAAGTATGAACTATTCTTCACTTTTGCTAAGACTATCTGAAATTTAATTCTTAATTAAAGACCAAGTATGAACTATTCTCCACTTTTGTTAAGATTCTCTAAATGTTAATTGTTATTTATTAAAAGCCAAGTATGAACTATTCTCCGCTTTTGTTAAGACTACCTAAATTTTAATTGTTGTTTATTAAAGACCAAATATGAACTATTCTCCACTTTTATTAAGTTTCCCTAAGTGTTAATTGTAACTTATTAAAGGCCAAGTATGAACTATTCTCCACTTTCGCTAAAACTACCTGAATTTTAATTGTTCTTTATTAAACTCCAAGTATGAACTATTTTCCGCTTTCGCTAAGACTACCTGAATTTTAATTGTTCTTTATTAAACTCCAAGTATGAACTATTCTCCACTTTTGTTAAGATTCTCTAAATGTTAATTGTTACTTATTAAAGACAATGTATGAACTATTCTCCACTTTTATTAAGTTTCCCTAAATGTTAATTGTTAATGACAATGTATGAATTCTTCACTTTAGCAAGAAATTTACTGCTGTTATTAGAAGTTCTTAGGACGAACCTAATGCTTGATTGATTTAACGACCGATTTTACTATACGTTATTGCTGCGTATTCAAGATTATAAAATATTAGCTTCAATTACAAATGCAAAATGTAGAATGCGTTCACTCATATATTTCGATTCATACAATCAGGGAAATGACACAGCCATTTCTTTTCTAGGAGAAAAAACCGGTGATTATTACGTCTACATAGACGACCGGTTCACGTGCAAAACCTGTGGAAGATCCTTCTCATCACAGCCCCTTGTGTCCCAACACTACAGGTTCGTTCACCTCAAAAGACGGCCCCGAGACCGAAAGTGCCCGTATTGCGACCAAAGAGTCCCAGGCTACCTCAGAGCATACCATTTAGAAGAAGCCCATAACATACCAGCACCCAAATGTGGTGTTTGCAACAAGAAGTTCAGATATCCCCACAATGTACTGCAGCATCAGAAGAAAGTGCACATGGGCGAGAAGACGGTCATATGCCAGATCTGTGATAAAGGCTTCTTCAGTACTTTGAGTTTGAGGTTGCATATGACCACCCATAATGATGCGAAGAGGTTCAAATGCAGCGTGTGTGGCCGAGAGTTCCGCTGGTTGAACAATTTAAAAGATCACCTAAAGATACACACGGGCGATAAGAGATATGTATGCAAAGTTTGCGCTAAGGCCTTTGTACAGAAGTCCACGTTGAAACAACACGGAGTCAGGAATCATCCGGGAGTGGACGTGTTTTGATCTATGTATTCTACTCGTATGTGTGATCTGTGATAAAGTTTCTTTCTTTCTTTCTTTATGCTTTATTGTACACAAAAGGTTATTAAAATGTAAAAACAAACATAACAGTGCACAAAGGCGAGCTTATCTCCAATAGAGATTTCTTCCAGCAAACCCAATATGAGAAAACTGACAGTTCATTAGTAGTTACAGACATACATGTGTACCAATCGACTTCAATGTTATACCTAGTTAAAAATAAATAAATAAAATGTCTTTACAATTGAAAAGACCGATAGGTATAAATAAATAAATAAAAATATATATAAGTAAATACATATAAATAGATAGATATATAATACACAAATATAATAAGTACGTACATCAGCATTGTGAGAGGTAATAATTCTTCAGACGTGATTTGAAAATCCCAATGCTTGGGCTATTTCTATTTTTATATTGGATTTTAAATTTTTCAACTAAGAAAATAAAGTACAAAGTTGCTTAACAGCCGATATTCATAAATTATTTCATGTTGTTAATTAAGACCCATATGAAACGTTACTAAACTCTATTTTCAATATCAACGATTGAAATCGGTAAATACCTAATATATTTTTTTTACAAAATACTTTTTTACAAAATTTCATTTAAATTGTTCCAACAGTTACAGAGATTAGCCCTTACAAACAGACAGAGAAATAAAAAA